TTTCAGCCTCATCCCAGCGGTGATTCCATTGGGGGGAAGTTCCTCCGGGGTCACTCGTTTCTCTGGAAATCCCCCAAATCCTCCCCAGGCGCGGCCGTTCCCCACGGGAAAGCGGCTCCTGATGGGAATTGTCTCCCGGAAGGGCTCGGCCGGAGCCTTTTCCCTTTTCCCGGTGCCCCGGGCATCCCCCGGAGCGAGCGGCTGCTCCCGCCGGGCTCTGCCCACCCCGCTCCCTGCGCTGCCCACACCCTGCCGCGGGATGGAGACTGGGAAAGGACCAGGAGGATTTCCAGAGGGGCCGGACCCCCGATTCACCCCTTCGGCTCCACGGGATCTGGACAGGACCCCACTCCCAGGACAGGATCCCATTCCCTGGACAGGATCCCATTCCCTGGACAGGATCCCTTTCCCTGGACTGGATCCTTTTCCCTGGACTGGATTTAATCCCCTGGACAGGATCCTTTTCCCTGGACTGGATTCTTTTCCCTGGACTGCACCCCTTTCCCAGGATTTGGTCCCTTTCCTTGGACTGGATCAATTTTCCAGGATTTTGTCCCATTCCCAGGAGTGGATCCCTTTCCCAGGACAGGATCCCATTCCCAGGACAGTGTCCCTTTCACAGGATTTGGTCCCTTTCCCTGGAGAGGATCCTTTTCCCAGGATTTTGTCCCATTCCCAGGACTGGATCCCTTTCCCAGGACAGGATCCCTTTCCCAGTACTGGATCCCATTCCCAGGATTTTGTCCCTTTCCCAGGACTGTGTCCCATTCCCAGGGAGCTCTTGCACAGACCAAAAATCCCAAATTTAGACAAAACCACCCCAAAAACCCCAAAGGAGCTGAGGGACCCCTGCTGCCCCTGTGCCAGCCTTAGGAACATCCACAGCACAGAACGAGCTGCTCAGGGCTCCAGAGATCCCTGGAAAAACCAGGAATTTCCCATTTGGAGCTGAAACGTCCATTCCATGGTGGAAAATTCATAATTTCAATATTTTGGTGAAGATTCCCATTTTTTTTCCTTTTAGATCCTTCCGCCTTGGTCTCAGGGAGAGCTGATCCTTCTGAACCTGATGCTCACATTCCAGGGAATTCAACTCCCAGGGAATTCTTCCCCACTCAGCACCGGGCAGAAACTACTCCAATAAATAGAATTTTCCATATTTTTATTGCAGAAGAAGGAAAATCTAAAGCTGCTCCAGCATTTCCTGGGGTTTTTCCTTCAAATCCAGCAGAAAATTTAAGAGAAACCTCAGCAAAGAGCAGCTCTCCAATAAATGGAATTTTCCCCATTTTTATTGCAGAAGAAGGAAAAATCTAAAGCTGCTCCAGCATTTCTTGGGGTTTTTCCTTCAAATCCTGCAGAAAATTTAAGAGAAACCTCAGCAAAGAGCAGCTCCCTCCCCGCATGCTTATTCCAGGGGAGGGAAATTCCCAATTAATTGGGAATTTGGGAATTTTTGCCGCCGCAGGAGCCGCAGTTCGTGAGTTTGGGTTGGGAATTCCCGACCAGGAGAGATCAAAAACTCTCCAGCGGCTCCTAGAGGAGCGTGAGCCCCAGGAGGAGCTGCCAGGCTGCAAAACTCCTCCCAAAATGGATTTTCCTTCTCCCAAAAGGATTTTCCTCCTCCCAAAATGGATTTTCCTCCTCGCAGAAGGATTTCCCTTTTCCCAGAATGGATTTCTCTCCTCCCAGCATGGATTTTTCTCCCCCAATAATGGATTTTCCTCCTCGCAGAAGGATTTTCCTTCTCCCAGAATGGATTTTCCTCCCCCTGAAATAGATTTTCCTCAACCCAGAAGGATTTTCCCCCTCCCAGAATGACTTCCCTTCTCCCAAAAAGATTTCCTCCTCCCAGGATGGATTTTCCCCCTCCCAAGATTTTCCTTCCCTCAAAATGGATTTTCCCCACCCAAAACAGATTTTCCTTCTTCCAGGATGAATTTTCCTCCCCCCAGAACGGATTTTCCTCCTCCTAGAAAGAATTTTCCCCCTCCCAGAAGGATTTCCCTTCTCCCAGAAAGATTTTCCTTCTTCCACCATGTATTTTCCTCACCTAAGAAAGGATTTTCCTCCTCCCAGGATTTCCCTCCTCCCAGGATAGATTTTCCTCCTCCTGAAATAGATTTTCCTCCTCCCAGAAGGATTTTACCCCTCCCAAAATGGATTTTCCTTTTTCCAGAATGGATTTTCCTCCCCCCAGAACGCATTTTCCTCCTTCAAGAAAGAATTTTCCCCCTCCCCTCCTTCACTCCTCCCAGGAACGATTTTCCTCCTCCTGAAATAATTTTCCCCCACCCAGGATGAATTTCCCCCTCCCAGAAGGATTTTTCCCCTCCCAAAATGGATTTTCCTTTTTCCAGAATGGATTTTCCTCCCCCCAGAACGCATTTTCCTCCTTCAAGAAAGAATTTTCCCCCTCTCAGAAGGATTTCCCTTCTCCCAGAAGGATTTCCCTTCTCCCAGGAAGATTTTTCTCCTCCTGAAATAGATTTTCCTCCTCCCAGAAGGAATTTCCTCCTCCCAAAATGGATTTTCTTTTTCCCAGAATGGATTTTCCTCAGCCAAGAAAGGATTTTCCTCCTCCAAAAATGGATTTTTCCCTTTCCAGAAGGATTTCCCTTCTCCCAAAAAGATTTTCCTTCTTCCAGGAAGGATTTTCCTCACCCAAGAAAGGATTTTCCTTCTCCAAGGATGGATTTTCCTCCTCCTGAAATACATTTTCCCCCTCCCAGGATGGATTTTTTTTTTCCCACAAAAGATTTTCCTCCTCCCAGAAGGATTTCCCTTCTCCCAGGACAGATTTTCTTCCTCCCAGAAAGAATTTTCCCCCTCCCTTCCTTCACTCCTCCCAGGAAGGGTTTTCCTCCTCCTGAAATAATTTTCCCCCTCCCAGAAGGATTTTCCCCCTCCCAAAATGGATTTTCCTCCCCCCAGAACGCATTTTCCTCCTTCAAGAAAGAATTTTCCCCCTCCCAGAAGGATTTCCCTTCTCCCAGTACAGATTTTCCTCCCCCCAGGATGGATTTTTTTTTTCCACAAGAGATTTTCCTCCTCCCAGAAGGATTTTCCTCCTCCTGAAATAGATTTTTCCCCTTCCCAGGATGAATTTTCCCTCTCCCAGTACAGATTTCCTCCCGAAGAGCTCAGGCATCGCTAGAAGGCAGCATTCCCTCAGGGATGAGCCAGCCCCGCCCTCATTCCCAAGGAAAAACCACCACCAACTCCAAAAGGACAAAAAAAATCAGGATATTTTTATTTCCTCGAGCTCCAGTGACACAACTGTAGCAGCATTTCATACCCAGATCCTGCATTGGTAAACAGTGAAGAAAACACTTTTTTAAAAAAATTTTTAAATTTTTATTTTATTTTTGCCAAGGCAAAAAATCCAAAGGATAAAAAAAAAAAAGGGGATTGAGAACTGGGAAAGTTCCTCATCCTCCCTTAAAGAACTTTGTGCGTTTGTGGCAGAACTGGGTCAGAGACTGGGCTAAAATCAAGGATTTCAGCTCAGAATTGCAGCACAACTTCCAAAGGCAAACTTGGCAGGGATTTCGGAGATGGGGATTTGGGAAGGGATTTTCCCAGCAGATCCAGCACCAGCAGCTGGAAAATTGGAATATTCCTGCTGCAGGTGAGAGCTCAGGAATGATGAGAACTGGGCTGGTTTTGTTGGATATCCAGGGGCATCCAAGTGGATTTTCCTCCTCCCAGAAGGGAATTCCTTTTCCAGAATGGATTTTCCTCCTCCCAGAAGGGAATTCCTTTTCCCAGAATGGATTTTCCTCCTCCCAGGATGGATTTTCCTCTTCCCAGAAGGGATTTTCCTCCTCCCAGAAGGAATTTTTGTTTTCCCAGAAGGATTTGCCCACTCCCAGCCTGAGGAGAGGCGAATTCCCAACGGATCCTGGCTGATCATTTTTGCTCCCAGGATGCCCAAACCCCTTCCCCACATCCCATATCCAGCATTTTTGGGTCCCTACTCCCAGGTTACTCCAAGGAGGAGCTGAGCTTCTCCCAAGGCAGAAATATCCAAGGAAATATCCAGTATAAGAAGAGGAGGATGGAGCAGGAATTCCAGAGGCTGCACCAAAAGCTGCAATCAACCACATTATCCCACATTTCAGCGTTAAATTCCCCAAATTCCATCTCCATGGGAATTTTCCAGGCTGATCTGGCTCTGGGAGTGACTCTCCAGTTTCTCAAAGAAAAATCTCAGCTCTGAGACCTCCAGTCCCACCAAATCCAGAGAATCCCGAGGGATTTTCCCACTTTAAGGCACAGGGAGCCTTTGGTGTAGGGATTTATTCAGGTTAAGACACAAAAAAAGGCAGCAAAAAGCTCATTTCACACCGGGGTTGTTCCCACAAGGCACACGTGGCACTCCCAAGAGGAGATCCTGCATTTCCCAGCTCCAAAAATTGTGGGAAAAAGATGAGATCTGCTGAGGGTCACCCTAAAAACCAGACCTGGCTGATGGGACAGCTCCAGGGCCACATGCCAGCCCGAGATCCCAAGGGACATCCCAGGCAGGGAGGACGTGGATCCTGGAACTGCATCCCAAAAATCCCTCCTTGGCTGCTGATCTCCCAAGGGAGAAGCTGAAGGATGGAATTTGGTTTTGGAAGGGCAATTCCCATTGGGACATGGACCCTGGAACTGGAATTTGCACACCCAGGATCCCAAAAATCCCTCCTGATCCCCCAAAGGAGCAGCTGAAGGACGGAATTTGATTTGGGAAGAGCCATTCCCATTGGGACATGGACCCTGGAACTGGAATTTGCACATCCAGGATCCCAAAAATCCCTCAGAATCTCCCAAAGGAGCAGCTGAAGGATGGAATTTGGTTTAGAAGAGCCATTCCCAAATGGGAAATGGGCCCTGGAACTGGAATTTGCACACCCAGGATCCCAAAAATCCCTCCTTGGCTGCTGATCTTACAAGGGAGCAACTGAAGGATGGAATTTGGGTTGGGAAAGATGGAATTGATCCCTGGATTCAAATGGGAAATGGAGCCTGGAACTGGAATTGGCACATCCAGGATCCCAAAATCCCTCCTGAACTCCCAAAGGAGCAGCTGAAGGATGGAATTTGCTTTGGGAAGAGCCATTCCCAAATGGGAAATGACCCTGGAACTGGAATTTGCACATCCAGGATCCCAAAATCCCTCCTGATCTCCCAGAGGAGCAGCTGAAGGATGGAATTCGGGCTGGGAAAGATGGATTTATCCCTGGATTCAAATGGGAAATGGAGCCTGGAACTGGAATTGGCACATCCAGGATCCCAAAATCCCTCCTGAACTCCCAAAGGAGCAGCTGGAGGATGGAATTTGGTTTGTTAAAGCCATTCCCAGCTGGAGCAGGGAGGCTTCCACCCTTCCCACACAGCATTCCAAGCAGGAAAACCAAACCCAGGGAATGAGGAGCTTCTCCAGGTGGGGTTTTCCCCCTCCAGGTGGAGTTTTTGCCCCTCCTGGACAGGGATGAGCAGCAGGGAGGGCTGGGAGGTGCCCTTGGATCTGCACTGGGAATTTCCCAAGGATTTTTGGGCTGGTTTGGAGCTGCCAGGGGCTCTGTAAACAGCAGCTCCAGGATCTCCCTTTCCTGGGAGCAGAGCAGCACCAGGCACCCCCTGGGATCCCAGGAGAGGTCCTGGAATGGGATCAGGGCTCCAGAGAGGAAAAAGTGGGAATAAACTCTGCAAGGATGAAGGCTGGTCAGCCGTCCCACCCCACAGAAATGTACCTTTAGCAAGTTTAAAATGAAAAATAACAATATTGGTTAAAAATCTACATCCTTAAGAGTTGAAAAAAAATGGAATTGAGATTTCCCCCTCTCCCCCACAAAGGGATTTTGAGATGCCCCACGTGTTCCCCAAGTGATGTCCCCATTCCTTGTCCCCTCAAGGGACTTCCAAGTACCTTGACACCCAGAGGAGAAGCCAGGCCACCACCTGGGTAATTAAAGCCAATCTGGCCATAAAATCAGTGATTTTGGGTCTTCCTTACAGGAGGGAAGAACTGAGCCCTTTTAAAATAGCTTTGCACCCAGCTGTAAAAGCATTTTAAAACCACCCAAGTGCCTACATAGAAAAATAAAGGATAAACATTATCCAGCTATTTTATATTTATACAAAATTAACTTCTGTGCCAGGACATTTTTGTTTCTCTGCTGTAAAAATAAAAAAAAAAAATAAAAACAAAAAAACAAAAATCAGCTTAGGTTGGATAACCTAAACCTTCAGCAAGGAGTAAACTCCATCTTCCATCTTATTTCCAGAAAAAGAGAAGCCTGCGATTTCACTGCTTCAAAATAAAGTTATTAAATAGATATATATTAATATCAAAGTCTGTATAAACTCTTTTTTTGTTGTTGTTTAAGGAAGGGAAAGGGGCACTCAGTGACCAGGAATCACAGGGGACAATGAGTGACCAGGAATCCCTGAGGACACTTGGTGACAGGGGGACACTGAGTGACCAGGAATCCCTGGGGACACTGAGTGACTGGGAATTCTGGGGGAGCACCATGGGAATCCCTGGGGACATTAAGTGACCAGGAATCCCTGAGGATCACCACAGCACTCCCTGGGGACACTGAGTGACCAGCAATCCCTGAGGAGCACCATGGGAATCCCTGAGGACACTGAGTGACCAGGAATCCCCAGGGACACCCAGTGACTTGGAATCCTGGGGGAGCACCACGGGAATCCCTGGGGACACTCAGTGACAAGGACACACTCGGTGACAGGGATCCCCGGAATCCCTGGGGGCACTCAGTGACAAGGACACACTCAGTGACCAGGAATCCCTGGGGACACTCAGTGACAGGGGGACACTCAGTGACCAGGAATCCCTGGGACACTCAGTGACAGGGACCCCTGGGGACACTCAGTGACAGGGATCCCTGGGGACACTCAGTGACAGGGACCCCTGGACCCCCTGGGGCACTCAGTGACCGAGCACCACAGGAATCTCGGGCAGGGAGATGTGGAGATGTGAACGCAGCAGAACTGCAGCTGGGCTGCCTGGGAGGAGGCCCAGGGGACCCCGGCTCCTGTTTCACGAGGATGATTTCTTCTCCAGCGCGTGCTTGGTGAGGAAGTACTTGAAGAACTCATACACGGACCAGGAGATGGCCGTGGAGGGCATCTGGTAAATGACGCGAGCCTGGACGCCTTTGAAGAAGCCGGGCAGCCCCCCCAGCTGGTACACGGTGCTGAAGGCGTTGGCCATGCCCGACAGGTGCCCCCTGATCTTGACGGAGCTCAGCGCCGTGTTCTCCTGCGTGTTCAGCAGCGTCTTGCACACGTCCAGGGGCGTGGTGGCGGCGGCGGCCACGGCTCCGGCCACGGCGCCGGCCACGATGTGGGACTGGGGGTGGTACTGGCGGTGGGGGTTCAGGTGCTCCTGCATCAGCTCGTAGGTGATGAAGTGGATGGCCTGGAAGGGCACGTTCATGGTCAGCTGCGTGGTGTAGCTGCGGTAGAAGGCTCCAAAGCCCTCAGTCCTCTGCACCGTCCGCACGCAGCCCAGCACCGACGTGTACGGAGAGTTGAACATCTGCAGCCGCTGCTTCACCACTGCTCGGGGACAGCGTGGGGACAGGGACATGCTCAGCTGCGGGCTCAGGCCTGGCTGGCACAGCCCTGAGCTCCCCTTCCCCACCCAAACCGACCCCCCTGAGCTGCCCAGTGCCCCCAGAGCTCAGGACAGCGACATGCTCAGCTGCGGGGTCAGACCTGGCTGGCACAGCCCCGAGCTCCCCTTCCCCACCCAAACCGACCCCCCTGAGCTGCCCAGTGCCCCCAGAGCTCAGGACAAACATGCGCACTGCTCAGCTGTGGGGTCACGCCTGGCAGCCCCCTGAGTGACCCAGGTACAGCCCTGAGCTCCCCTTCCCCACCCAAACTGATCCCCCTGAGCACCTCCAGAATTCAGGACAGGAGTGGGGACAGGGACACTGCTCAGCTGTGGGGTCACACTTGGCAGCCCCCCGAGTGACCCAGGCACAGCCCTGAGCTCCCCTTCCCCACCCAAACTGAACCCCCTGAGAGCCCCCAGGGCTTGGGACAGGAATGGGGACAGGGACACTGCTCAGCTGCGGGGTCAAGTCTGGCTGGCACAGCCCCCAGAGTGACCCAGGCCCAGCCCTGAGCTCCCCTTCCCCACCCAAACTGATCCCCCTGAGCTGCCCAGTGCCCCCAGAGCTCAGCACAGTGAGGGGACAGCTCAGAGCTCACTTCCTAATGAATCCCTCTCCTCAGGCTTAATTAATGACTCTTTAGTTCTAATGAACTCCTCAGGGTTAATTAATGACCCACTAGTTCTAATGAACCCCTCTTCTCAGGCTTAATTAATGACCCTTTAGTTCTAATGAACTCCTCAGGGTCAATTAATGACCCACCAGTTCTAATGAACCCCTCTCCTCAGGGTTAATTAATGACCCCTCAGCTCTCCCCATTAAGCCAGGCTGCTCAGGACCCCTGGTGGGGATGCACAAACACCCAGCAGTGATGAGGGCAGGAAGGTGAAGTCACACCTGAGCATCACCTGGGGGTGTCACACCCCCCTCCAGCCTCACTGGCTGCAGTGACTTCCACTGACTTACGAGGCCAATTCATTTAATTGATTTAATCAGGGTATGATTAAAAGGATTTGATACACTGGAGTTTTCTCCTTCAGAGATTCCCAACTCTGGGCCCACTCAGGAGCACACCCAGTGACGCTGAGGAGCTGGCAGGTGGCAGCATTGTCACTTGAGCTGCATTTTCCTGTTAATCCTCATTTTCCTGAGGCCTTCTCCTGCCACTTCACCTCCCCAGGAATCTCACAGCCCCTCCGTGTGCTCATCCAACAACCTGAGCTCAGCTTGGTTAGTCCAAAGCTTCAGGAAAACCAGAGCTACTGCCCCAAGGAGCAGCAGAGTGGTGACAGTAAAGGGGACACCAGTAAAGGGGACACCTCGCCTGGAAAGTCCCAATGCACCACAGAGATCCAGGGAAAATCCCTCCTGGCTGCTCTCCCTCTCCTCCCAAGGGACAGAGGAATGAGTCCCTGGGTTTGGTGGTTTTGGAGCTCTCCCAGACGGGGGCAGCCCTGGATTTCTTCCTATTCTTGCCAAGGGACAGAGGGAGAAGAGCCAGGAGGGATTTAGGCCTGGATTCACTGGGCAGGAGCACCTGGGTGTCCTAGAGGGAGCAGCACTTCCCAGAATCCCAGGATTACCTTCAGCAGGATTCATCACGGCGTCGTGGAGCAGCGTGGCCACGCTCCCAGCGATGCCTGCAAGGAAGAGCAGCCCTGAGAAAACGAAACCGGCTCAAAAGGCATCACTGCCACCCAGGGGGACCCACCCAGGGGGATACCATCCAGGGGGATCCCATTCATGGGGAATCCATCCAGGGGGATCCATCCAGTGGGATCCCACCCGTAGGAATCCATCCAGGGGGATCCCATCCATGTGAATCCATCGAGGGGACATCACTGCCACCCAGGGGGACCCATCCTGGGGGACCCACCCAGAGGGATCACATCTGTGGGAATCCATCCAGGGGGATCCGACCTGTGGGAACCCATCCATGTGAATCCATCGAGGGGAAATCCATCCGGGCGCGGGGAGGAGGGGCTTCATCCATGGGGACCCTATCCATGGGAATCTATCCAGGGGGATCCCACCCATGGGGGGCTCCTATCTTTGGGGGAATCCATCCATGGGGGGCTTCTATCCATGGGGAATCCATCCATTGGGGAACACCATCCATGGTGGATCCCATGCATGGGGATCCATCCATAGGGGGCTCCATCCATGGAGGGATCCCATCCATGGTGGATCCCATCCATGCTGAGGGAGCACCCAGGTCCCAGCACCCAGGGCCACAGCACAGATTCCCAGGGCAGGAACCCCATCCTGAGAGAACCCCAGATCCACTCCCAGCCCCCAGCTTTGCTCTTCCCAACAATTCCCAAGGATCCGTCGGCCCCAGACACCCGCGGCGCCTGAGCGAGCAGTGAGCAATGTTTACCCTCCCCTCAGCACATCCCTAATTAGGGATTTTCATCCCTTTACTCAGCCTGGTTTCCAAGCCTCAGTGCCCAGGTTGTGCCAAACCCAGCCAGCCCTGACCCATCCCGCGCTCGGCTCTGGGATGAGGCTCTGCAGCCACTCCTTCCCTTTGATGTTGGCTCCCACCTCCAATTCCCTCTTGCCCAAATGACTTTTGGTCATTTCTCATGAAGCCACAGCTCTGATTTTCCTGCTGGCACCACAGGCCTGTAGCTACTTGAAAGGCAAACCCAGGAATGTGTTCCCAGCAAAGAGCAGCGAGGAGAAGGGATTTTATTCCCTTCACTGAGTTCAGTGACCCCATGGCAGATTCCCACCAGCACATCCCCGAAAAATCATGGGAATCTCCAGCATAAACCCTTCGGTAAAGCCCTGGCTGCTCAATTCCAGGCTTTCTGCTGCTATTGCTGGGTTTAAAAGTGAAATATTCCTGCTAAAATTTTAAGCACACAGAAAATGGAGGGCCACCTGAATTCAAACCTCCAGAGGCTGAGGTGATGCCTTCAGCATAAGATCACACCTGATCTTTAAGGTGATATCTTCAAAGGTGGGACTTGATCCTGAAGATCTTTCCCAACTTTAAGGATTCCATGGCAATATAGGAACAGCACAGCTGCACCTGAACACCTTTTGCCCACTGAATTGATGAATTGTGCTGGAATAATTTGAGATTAAATAAGAGTTTAGATTGGGAGGGGCATCAGGCTGAGTAAGAAACAAGCAAGGGACAGGTTGATAACAACAAATGTTTTGGGTTTTTTTTTTAGGGCAAACCCCAAAAATACCATTGGCCAAGTGGCTGTTTCCTCCTGGCTGGAAAATATCACTGAGAGACTTTTTCATTTTCTCGTAGCAGGCAAAGTACAAGGCGTGGGCAGGGCCAGCCCCCAGCATGGTGACATCAATCCCACGCAAAGGCCTCCAGAACCCCTCGGTCAGCACCATCTTCTTGAGAGCTTCGTACACGCCCCTGTACTGGGCTTTGGGGTCTGGCTGCAGGCTCTGCATCCGTGTCTGCAACAAAGCACACCAGGGAGAGGCCTTGGTTACCCACCCCACGCAGCAAAGCCAGGGCTCAGAGCCACCACAATTCCGAGATCACCAAGGGGTCATTTCAGCCCCTGGATGTCCCTTATTTAATCCTAATTTTTTATTTATCCTGCTGGATGGAGCCCACGCTCCCACTGCAACACCCAGGCTGATCCTGGAGGGAAGTGCAACCTCTGCTCTGCTTTATCCATGGAAATCCCAAGGAATGAGGCTGCTCCAAAGGCTGGGTGAAGAAATCCAGGGAAGGTTGTAATTTTCTCCTGCTTTCAACACCCTGACTCTGCCCCAGCTTGTTCCTCCTGCAGCTGCCTGGCAGCCTGGGACAGTTCCTAGAAGGGTGAGCTGGGAAAACTGGGAACAGGCAGGAATTCTCCTGAAAATGAGAAAATGCAGAGCCAGTGTCCCCCAGAGGCTCTGGGACGTTCCTTGTCCCTGTTTTCCCCTCAGCTCCTGGTGGTTTTCTCCCCCGAGGACCTGGCAGGGAATTCCAGCTGCATTTCTGTCCCTCAGGATTTTTTTCTGCCACAGATTTTAAGCCAGCTGAGCTCCTGGCACCCAAACCTGCTCCTGGCACCCAAACCTGCTCCAAAGCTCACTGCCACCACTTCATTACACAATTTTCCCCTCAGGAAAATTCCCTGGAGCTCCTTCCAGGGCTCTGCAGACAGCAGGGCTCAAAGGCCTGGAGGTGACAATGACAACACGTGAGGGGTCCCAGGACCCCAATCAGCACTGGGTGAAAACCTCAAACCTCCACAGCCACCCCAGGAACTCCTGAGCAGCAAAATGCCCGCAGATCCTTCCTGTGCTCCCTGTGGGAAATGTTAAAAACTGAGACAGGCCATGGGGTCAGAGCCCTGGAGGTGGCCAAGGAAGGCCCGGACATGGCCCTCAGTGCCCCGGGCTGGGGACAAGGTGGGGATGGGCCACAGCAGGCCTGGATGGCCTTGGAAGGCTTTTCCAACCTCAGGAATTCCATGATTCTGCGATTCCAGCCCATGAAACAGAAACCAGCCCCTCGGAGCAGCCTCGGCCCCAAAACACCAACACTGGGGAGGCCTCAGGAATTCTGGCTTTTCCAAGGAGAGGCTGTAGAGCTGCAGAAGGATTCCCCCCTCAGCAGGATCCCCTCCAGCTCGTCAAGCCCTTCATTAATTAGCCAGGAGCAGCTCAGCTTTCCATAAAAACCTTTAAGGATTGAACCTTGGAGCCCACAAACCCCAAAACACTTCCACACCCCCTCTGTGAGCCCAAGGAAGGGACCAGAGCTCGGTTCAGGACTTTCACTCGGAATAACAAAACCAAGCTGGGTTTACTCAAGTCTAGACCAACCAATTTACAGAATCTGTAGTAAATACACTTTAAAAACCCTAAAAATTTGGCTGGGATTTCAGACTCCAGCCTCAGCTGGTGCTCACGAAAGGCATCACCCTCCACCAGGGAATTTGGCAGCCTCGTGCAGAGCTCCCTGTTCCACAGCACCACATTCCCTGTGAATTCCAACCAAACCCAAAAACTCAGGAAAATCCCCCAGGGAGAGCAGCAATGCACTCAATTAGCTCAGAATTTAAAAGCAGGTTTTATATCCAGCTGTCCATTCAACCCCTCGCGGTCTCTGCACCTTCCCATCCTATGGAGGCTGCTCAGGATTTTGGAATGCCCTGGAGAAAATCTCAGTCTCATCCCAGTTTATCCCTGGCAGCAGCAGGTGACATTTATGTGCAGGACCAACGTGGTTTTGGGAAGTAAAGCCAAGTAAGCCGTTATTGATGATCCAGTTTTCCCACTTTCACCCCAGCAGCTTCCATGAAGGAACAGAATCTCATGTAGCTGTCAGGGCCACACACACCCCAGAAAAATCAATTTACAGACACCCTGCTGCTCCAGCTTGGTCAGGAACAGGGCAGCTCTTCATGGCAAAGGGATGCAAGGTGGGTACAGCTCTCACATGAGAATAGATAAATAGGATTTCTTTTTTTATTTTGGTGGATCTGAGCTGCTCTGAAGGGGTTCACAGCCCAGAGGAGCCCACACAGGCTGCAGTTTGCATCAGCCACCCATCACTTGTGGGTAGAACAGGACTAACAGCCCAAGGAGCAGATAAAACCAGGACTAACTGCTCATAAAACCAGGACTGACTGCCCAAGGAATAACCAAAACCCAGGTTCAACAGGACTAACAGCCCAAGGAATAATCAAAACCTGGGTAAAACACGATTAGCAGTTCAAGGAGAAGATAAAACCAGGACTAACTGCCCATGAAACCAGGACTGACTGCCCAAGCATTAACCAAAAACAGGACAAACAGCCCAAGGAATAACCAAAACCTGGATTCAACAGGACAAACTGACAAAGAAGCAGATAAAACCAGGATTCAGCAACCCAAGGAGTAGCCAAAAGCAGGATTCAAGAGGACAAAACACATAGAACAACCAAAATCAAGAAAAACAATCCAAGATATAACAAAAATCAGTACTGAATAGAACTAAAAGCCCAAGTAATAACCAAAACCGGATTTAGAAGAACAAACAGCCCAAGGAATAACAAAAATCTGGATTTAGAAGGACAAGCAGCCTAAGGAATAACCACAACCAGATTTAGAAGGACAAACAGCCAAAGAATAACCAAAATCAGGATTTAGGAGGACAAACAGCCCAAGGAATAACCAAAACCTGGATTTAACAGGACAAATTGCCCAAGGAATAACCAAAACCTGGATTCAACAGGACAAACAGCCCAAGGAATAACAAAAATCAGGATTTAGGAGGACAAACAGCCCAAGGAATAACAAAAATTAGGATTGAATAGAACTAGAAGCACAAGCAATAACCAAAACTTGGATTCAACAGACCAAACTGCCCAAGGAATAACCAAACCCAGATTTAGGAGGACAAACAGCCCAAGGAATAACAAAAATTAGGATTGAATAGAACTAGAAGCACAAGCAATAACCAAAACTTGGATTCAACAATTCAACAAACTGCCCAAGGAATAACCAAAATCTGGATTTAGAAAGACAAGCAGCCTAAGGAATAACCAAAACCAGATTTAGGAGGACAAACAGCCCAAGGAACAACAAAAATCAGGATTTTGGAGAACAAACAGCCCAAGCAATAACCAAATCCAGGATCTCCTGGGTGGCTGCTGCCGAGCCAGAGGCCCGGAGCTGGGAGCAGCTCTGAGGGAGGGAGCTGAAGTTTATCAGGGCTTGAGGAGATGATTTCCCCGAGCTGGGCAGTGCCCCCAGCTCCTCTCAGCTATCTGAAGCCACCAAGCAGCTCCTGGAGCCTCACCCCTGATAAGCAGCCAAGAAATTGTTCTCCACCTACTTCAATTAATCCCCATTGCATAAGGCAGCAGTGCAGGGCCAGCCACGAGCGCCCTGCTTGTCCTGGCTGCAGTTTGGGCAGGAAAAAAACACCACCACAAGTGCCAGGGTCAGGTTGAGGCAGTTCCCTGCTCCTGGGGAAGAGCTCTGTCCTGCTGGATGCACTTTGGGAAGAGCCCCAGCACTCCTCCAGTGTTGTTTTCTGCTTGGTTTTTACCCAGAATTGTTTTTCCCAGGTCTCTGTTTTGCACATCCTGGCAGAGGGTCACTGGTTTGACACCCTACAAACACCCCCAGACCTCGTTTGCCTTTTGTCTGGGGTTTATTTATTTATTTTCTCTGAGCACAACCTGCTTTTCCCAGGTTCATGTGACAGAGGTGCACAAAGGGAACACAAAGTGCTTTTAGCAAGAAATCAGCAGCATTTCTGCAGGGATCCAGCAGATCCTGCCAGCTGGGCAAGGCACGAGCCAGGCTCAAGCTCTGAACCCTAATTTTGGGGGAGTTCAGCTGGAACAGGACAAGGCACGAGCCAGGCTCAAGCTCTGAACCCCAATTTTGGGGGAGTTCAGCTGGAACAGCCCCCAGATGAGCAGCACACCCATGGGAGGGGAGCAGAGGGTCAGTCCAGCAGGGTATCCAGGAATTCCCAACATTCCAAAACTCCCCCTCAGCTGGAAGACATGGAACTGCTCCTCCTGGAGCAGCTGGAAATGGGGGGATGCAGAATCTCCCACCACCATACCCCAAAGAATCCAGAGCCCTGCTCCCTCAGATGTTCAGCTGGGCTTCCAGGACCTTTGTGACCACATGGAAGCTCCAAAGGCAGGCCAGGTTTTCATGGAAAAGGATTTTTTTGGTCCCTGGAGCCATTGGCACCCTCTGCCAGAAGGGAGGTGCCAGCCCTGCACGGCTCCAGTTTCTCTCCCCAGCAATTAATTAATCCCCAGGGGAGCAAAGCTGTTCCTCACATCCCCAAGGGGAGATCCCATCCTTTGTTTTCACAGCCTTTGGGAAACCAGCTCCAGCAGAAAAATCACCAAAAGCATCAGGGCAGGAGGAGGATGCTCCAGGGGAACCCTCCAGAAACGCCTTTTCTGCTGCCATCAGGAGTCCTTGACATGCTGATCCCTCCAGATCATTTGGGGATGGATCAGGGCTCCCAGCACAGCTGTTTTTTGCAGCAGCCACAAACAAAAACAAGCCTGAGACGTGTGAGAAACACCCTCAGCACCAGCAAAAGCCCAGCCCAGGGTGTCCAAACACCTGGAGCTGAGGGGGAGAAGCAGAGGGAAAGTGCAGGTGAGGCTGCAGCTCAAGGGGGCTTTGCCTATGGTAAAAAAAAAAAAAAAAAAAAAAAAAGCCCAACATTATTATTTATTCAACACTGGAAAATAATGGGGAGGAAAAGAGTGTAGATTTAAACTGGATATTGGGAAGGAATTCTTCCCTGTGAGGGAGGAAGGACGGATGGAATTCCCAGAGGAGCCGTGGCAGGTTGGAGCACCCTGGGACAGTGGGAAGTGTCCCTGCCCTGGGGTGGCCCCAGGGGATTTTAAGGTCCCTTCCCACCCAAACCATTCTGGGATTCCGTGACCCCATCAAGCTCAGGGGTTGTGCAAGTGTCTGCAGCAAACAATTCCCCAAATTACGACATTTTCAGTTTCTCTTTGGGAGGAAATGACTCGCTGGAAGGCAGACAGGAGGAACCTCAGAGCAGGAGCTGCCCAGGTGCTCCTTCTGCACCTGCAGAAAATCCCAACCTCCTCCAGCCTGGACCTCTGCCCCAGGAAGTCCCAGTGAGGAAAAGCTTTGCTCCTTTTCTGCAGGAACACGGCCCCTCTGCCAACAACACAGCAAAAGAGCTGAGCTGTTACTGGATTACACCCACCACAAGAAAACAAACCTCTGTAGGGCACAAAACCTCCCTTTTCGGGGTCAGTTGTACCTTTGCCCACAGCGGACAGGTGAGTGCCCAGGGCAGGAGCAGATCCCGGCGGGATTTGGCTGTGTCCCAGCACAGAGGGACCCCGGCCCGGAGGGTTTGATCCGCCCGCCTGTGTCCCAGCACAGAGGGACCCCGGCCCGGAGGGTTTGATCCGCTGCGGGCACTCGGCCGGCGGGACCAGCCCAGCCCGGCCCGGCCCGGCCCGGCCCTGCCTGTGCCAGGCAAGGCACAGCGCGGGGAGTTTTTCCTCCAAAGCGCCTCCCACTCCAGGAAGCCGGGCACCGCTTTCATTTCTGGCTCTGCTCTCCCCGCGGAGGAAAGAACTGCAGAATTCCGGAGGGACAACACCCACGGAGCTGCCCCGGCCGTGACTGGGCACAAAACACCTCATCTGTTCGTGCCAGCAGCTGGTGCCACGCTCACGGTGGGCACCAACCCCACAGCCAGCGGGGACACCCCAAATCTGTGAGCCAGGTGCAGCAGGGACAGACCCAGAGGGCAAACGGGGCAAAAAAACCGGGAATATTTCCTTTGAGTACTTGAACACTGGCAGGAGCTGCAAAAGCCAAGGCATTTCCTCTGCTCTGCCCTTTCTACTCTTTCGGGGAGCCCTGGACGAGAAGGAGAAGGGATTGCAACATCTCGTGATTCATCCACGCCAGCATCGAGGGAGTTTGGCTTTTCCCAGCTTTCCCTCTTCTTTTGAAGGCCCCGCAGCAGCAAACTGGCAGGGCAGAGGGAGGAAACACCCTTCAGGATGATTCCCACAGTGTGGAGACACTGGGAAGCCTTTCCTGAGTTGTGCTCGAGCATCATCAGCTCCAAAATCCACCGGGCAGCTCCTCTTCAAGCAGCCTGACCCCAACAAAGCCACTCACCCACCCCGGCGCGGCCACAGCGCCCCATCCCAGCAGCTCTTCCCTCCTGAGCTGGATCCCTGAGCTCCGGGAGGGAAAAGCTGCCCAAGGAGCTCCTGATCCCCGTCCCAAGGATTCCAGCAGGGCACTGCTGGCACCGGGTTGGCATCTCCCAGTCCAGGGAGCAGCACCGGGGCGTCACCTTTGCACCAGCGCTTGTGCAAAGCTCCCCGGGGCTGCAGGACACGTCCAGGATTTCCCTGAACCTTCTCGGGAACCTCACACACCCCAATATTCCATGGACACCTCCCCCCAAACGTGCACCCCAACATTCCATGGACACTTCACCCGTCTGCATCCCAAGATCCCTTACACATCCCCACCTTTCTTGCGCCCCAATGTCCCCTCCACGCTCCCCCCCTTGCACCCCAGTTTCTTGCAGATTTTCCTCCCTTGCACCCCAAAAACTCTTACACGTCCCTAACACCCCAACAACCCCTTGAACCCCCAGCACTCCTTTCACCCCAACAACTGCTTACACACTTCCCCTTTGCACCCCAACAGCTCCTTGCACACCCTTTACACCTCCCCTCTTCTTCCACCCCAAAACCTCTTGCACACCCTTCTGTTCTCTCCCCTCCTTGCACCCCAACAGCCCCTTGCACACCTCTTACACTCCCCTCTTACACCCCAATAACCGGTTGCACACTCCCCTCTTACACCCCGAAAAAGCCTTGCACCCCCAAAACCCCTTGCACACCTCTCGCACTCCCCTTTTCCTGCACCCCAATAACGCTTGCACACCTCTCACACTCCCCTCTCCCTGCACCCCAACACCCCCTGGCACACTCCCCTCTTGCACCCCAAAGAAACCTCGCACCCCCAGCACTCCTCGCACCCCCAAACCCCTTGCACAGCTCTCGCACTCCCCTTTTCCTGCACCCCAGAAGTTCCCGCACCCCACTAACCGCTGCACCCTCCCCTGTCGCTGTCCCCCCGCACCCCTCGCGCCTTGCCCCGCTCCCTGCAGCATCCCCGGCCCCCCCGTGCCCGGCTGCCCCGCCGCTCGCCTCTGTCCCCGCGCACCTTGACCGAGTCCACGGGGTACATGATCGTGTGCTCCATGATCCCCGCCACGGCCCCGGCCACCATGTGCGTGCCGAGCGCGACGCTGCTGGGCAGGCTCTCGTACTCCTCGCTGTCCCTCAGCCCGGCCCCGGCGGCGGCGGGGGGCCCGGGGCCCGGCGGGGCAGCGGCGCTGCCCGCCATGGCACAGCTCAGCTCCATGCGCCGGCACCGGGGGACACGGGCCGGGCCGGACGCTGGACACCGGTACCGGGGGGGCCGGGGGCGCGCTGGGACCGCGCGCCGCCCAACCTCCTTTAAAGCCGCGCTCGCCACGCCCATCCCGGCTTCACCAATCAGCGCGGCGCGCATTCGTGACATCTCAGGGCGGGAAAATGATTGGCAAGAATATCAACCAATGGAAAGTGAGAAGGGAGCGGCGGAGGGTTGTGATTGGCTGTAGTAGCGGGTGGGCGGGGCGTAGCCGTGAGGGCGGGTGTGCTGTGGCGGCGGCGCTGAGGGGGACGCGGCCGCGGAGCGGGTAACTGTCACCTGGAGCGGCCGGCGCGGCGTCCCACGGGCCGGCGGCGGCGGTTTGTGTCTGCCTGAGGGACGGCAGGTGTGCTGGCGTGCTGTGGCGGCGGCGCTGAGGGGGACGCGGCCGCGGAGCGGGTAACTGTCACCTGGAGCGGCCGGCGCGGCGGTTTGTGTCTGCCTGAGGGACGGCAGGTGTGCTGGCCCCGCCGTGTGTGCCACGGGGAAAGCTGGGGGGAAGAAAGCGGAGATGTAGCAAGTCCTGTTGTCGGAGAGGTTTTAGCTGGATGGTGACACGGCCGGGACTCGCGGGGTGTCACCGCTGCGTGTCCCGCGGCCCCCGGGAGAACGGGAGCGCCCCTCACAGCTCGCACTCAGCCCTCGTGCCGGGGCGTCCCCCTGCAGCCACCCCCGGTGAGGCAGGGCAAGGTGCAGACAGACCTGGAGATGGAGATCCCATGGGCAGAGGGGCTGTTTTCCGTGCAGGGTCCCCACAGCAGCCCCAAACTGTCCCCAAAGCAGCCCTAAATTGTGCCCAAAGCAGCCCCAAACTGTCCCCCAAACTGTGCCAAAAGCAGCCCCAAATTGTGCCCCAAAGCAGTCCTAAATTGTCCCCACAGCAGCCCCAAATTGTGCCCAAAGCAGCCCCAAACTGTCCCCCAAACTGTGCCAAAAGCAGCCCCAAATTGTGCCCCAAAGCAGTCCTAAATTGTCCCCACAGCAGCCCCAAATTGTGCCCAAAGCAGCCCCAAACTGTCCCCCAAACTGTGCCAAAAGCAGCCCCAAATTGTCCCCAAAGTAGTCCTAAATTGTGCCCAGGGCAGCCCCAAATTGCTCCCAAAGCTGCACCAAATTGTGCCCAGAGGGGCTGTGCTCAGCTCCTGTGCTGCTGATCCAGGGAAGCTGCCCAGAACAGTTTATTCGGGGTTTTGTGGGGCATCCTGGGGGTGTCTTTGTCCCCAGTCCCCTCCTGTGGTGCCACAGCCACTCCCCTGCCTGGGCTGTTTTGTCCCTGTGGGGGACAAAACCTCCTGGAAGAGCTTAGGAAAACTTCCTGCCCTTCCTTTCTTTTGAGAAGAAGGGATCCACGGCATCCCCATCCCTCCTGCAGATCCCACTCCTTGTGTGCGGGAGCAGTGAGCTCCCCTTGTGCCCCTGCTCCCCAAAAATGCTTCTCTTCCTTCATATTTTCCATGATTTCCTCATTCCACCATGAAACCAACCCAAGCCAGGTGAATTTGGTGCTCTCCAGGAGAAGGAGGCAAAGTCTTTTGGCCCAGGGAGCAGCCCTGACTTTTATTTCATTCCTCTCCAAAGGATTATTTGGAATTCGACCTTGCAGGGAAGGAGGTGTTGCATGAGCTCAAATCAAGGTTAACCATTCCTCTGATACTGCAGGACAATTTATTGCTGTGTGGGCCTTGGGAAGGAGGAAAACCACCCTCAGAACCTGGAAAAAGCAGGAAAATGAAGTGTTGGGTTTGGAAATGAACACACACCAGGTGAGAAAATCCAGGTGTGGTCACATCCTGGGTACCTGGAGAGGTGCTGGGGCAGCACGAGCTGTTCTCCTTCCTCCTTCCCTTTTTTGTGCTGGGAATTCTCTGTTCCCCGTGGGAACACGGAGCTGCTGGAGAAAACAACAATAAATGACATTGTCACGCATGGGACTCGCTCCTGATTGATTCTGGGGACCTGGCAGCATTTCCTGCACTTGGCAAAACACTTCTCCAGGAAGGGAGAGCTGGAGGTGACAGCCAGCTGCTGCCCCGGGGTGTCCCAGCCATCCCCCCAGCCCTGAGACCTGTGCAAAGCTGAGAGCATAAAACCCTTCCACAACACAAATTTAACCCAGGAATTGCTCAAATCTCCCCTTCTTGCCCTCTGGGAGAAGCCACGGGATTATCACACCTTTATTTCCTTGGAGAGAGACCAAACCTGTGCTGCTGGCAGGGTTTGGCACTGTGTTTTCCATATTAAATGACATTTAAACTGCAGAGCCACATCCACACCTGTAATTCCAGCAGAGAACCATGATCCCCAGGCCAAAGCGGGCACAGGAACTTCCCTTGCTGTGATCCAAGGAAATAAAACTGGCAGGGACACATTTCCCAGGATTGCTCCACAGGGTTTATCAAGGTTTTTCCTCTCCCTGAGCAAGAAGTGTAATCTCCTTCCCGTGCCTGTGGCAGGGCAGGGAGGGGGAATTAGAGTCACCTTAATGAGCCCTTTCTCCTGCACTCTCAGGTGCTGCTCCCTGATAATGAGCTGGGCCAGGCTGGAGTTCTGCTTCCAGGTTACATTTTAACCCTGGAGTGGTGCCACCAAGAATCCTTGTGCTCCAGAGCTCAGGGAGCCACAGCAGAGGCTCAGCCTGAGGGGTTTCCCCTGTTCCTGGGCGTGGGATGGGGATGATCCACGATTTCTGCCAGGGAAATGGGGCTGGCAGGTGGGAAATAAATTTGTGGAAAATTTTTAAAGTTTGATAGAAGATTCCCATAATATGCATAGGTTGTGGCCAGCAGCAGCAGGAAAAGGAGCAGCCTGTGGCTCTGGGAGGGGTTTCTGCCATCCCTGGACAAAAGGAGCTCAGCTTCCCTGGAAAAGCTTCCTTTGAGACCAGGCCTGTGCAGGGATTCCCTCACTCCTCCCTTCATCCCATCCTGGAGCTCCCTGGGCTTGGGGGTCCCCGGGTGCTCCACGAGCCCCACATTCCATGGGAGCAGGAAACAGGGAAGGGCAGAGCTAAAACCACATTTGGGCTGCAACAGCCTCAGCCTGGGAGTGTCCAGGGCCACTTGGATGGGCTTGGAGTCACCTGGGGTAGTGGCAGGTGTCCCATGGCAGGGGTGGCAGGGTGGGAGTGAGGTCCCCTCCCACCCAAACCATTCCAGGATTTTATTTTCCCATCCCTCTGCAGGTGCTGCAGGAAGAGCCCTGGACATTGGGAATTTGCTGAGCAGGAAGAGCTCGGAGGGACAGGACCCAGGGAATGGCTTCCACTGCCAGAGAGCAGGGTTAGGTGGGATTTGGGAAGGAATTCCTGCCTGGGAGGGTGGGGAGGGGCTGGGATGGAATTCCCAGAGGAGCTGTGGCTGCCCCTGGGTCCCTGGCAGTGCCCAAGGCCAGGCTGGAGCTCCCTGGGACAGTGGGAGCTGTGCCTGCCCTGGCAGGGCTGGCACTGGATGGGCTCTAAGCTCCTTCCAACCCAAACCATTCCACGAATCCCCAAATTTATCATCCACACCCCAGCAAGTCCCAGCAGAATCCCCAAAGTTCACCCTCTCTGTGCCAGCAGCCAGATAAATCCAGGAATCAGCCACAGCCCCAAGGCTGGGGCAGCACCTCCCTGCTGCAGCCTGGAGCAGCTGTGGCACGGCAGGAACAGAGCCCAGAGCCAGCAATTCCAGCAGAAAGGAGGAATCCAGGCAGGGGAAGGCTCTGGTGGGCTGGGGCAGCACCCACAGCCCCTGCAGCACCTCCCAGCTGATAAGGAGCACCTGGAGCTCCTTATCCAAGCCCTCACCACGCAGGAGCTGCCAGACCCAGGAGCTGCAGGCAGGTTGATAAGGCAGCAGTGCCCAGCTGCGAGGTGGGCACCCAAATTGGGGTTTATCTCCTGGACCCAGGGGTTTGTATTTACATTTCTGTCACTTTGCAAATCTCCAGTTTCTCTAACAGCTGAGCACCACCTGGCTCAGGGGTTTATCCTCCCCACCAGCAGCTCTGGCCAAAGCCACAGAGCAGCAAATTCAAAGTTATTTTGTTTTAAAAAATTTAAAATTTTAAAAATTGGCGTGTTCTGCATCAGATAATTGTGGTTTTCTTCCCTAACATGGAATTCCCAGAGGAGCTGTGGCTGCTCCATCCCTGGAAGTGTCCAAGGCCAGCTTGGATCACCCTGGGACAGTGGAACCCTGCCCGTGGATGATTTTAAGTCCCTCCTAACCCAAACCATTCCATGATTTTCAGTGTGGAAAGGAAAAGGCCCTGGTTTATGGCATTTTATGAAGGCTTTAGAAGAGGAATCAGAGCAAATATAAATGGTTGGTTTGTTTTTAATCTTATTTGCAGCACGGCCAGCTGGAATTTTATGTCCTCACAGCTTTTCTTGGCAAGTTTGGGTGCCAGATCCTCATAGGAAAAACAGATTCCACGTGGGAATCAATTCCCCATCCCACAGGACAGGCACCAGCCCCTTCCCAGCACATCCCATCCTTCCTTAAAAACACCCAAAATGCCCCAAAATACAAATTTAACTCTGAGTCTGCACCTCTTTCCCAGCCCCAAAATACAAATTTAACTCTGAGTCTGCACCTCTTTCCCAGCCCCATCCTGAGCTCCAAGGCAGGGCCAGCCTCAGGAGATCCCTGGAAAAGGGTCCAGCCTGGATTCTCCTGGGAATGGAGAGCCACAGGGAGATTCATCTGCTTGGAAACCTGACGTGTCCCAGTTATTTTCTTTTATCTTTATATTTGCAAACTCCAGGAATATAAACAAACAATTCTGTTGTGTCTTCGGGGTGACCTGACCCACTTTGGGAGCAGCAGCCCCTGGTTTGAAGCCTCCATGAGGTGCTGCTGTTGGGATCAGCGCTGGAAAAGCACAGAAAACAGGAATTCAGGGTAAGGATTAATGCACTTTTTAGCTCCAAAAAAAGTGCTGGAGTCCATCTGAATGGAATAATTTGACCATGTAGGCAGAGCAGGATGGTTCCCAGCTTTAACCACATTCCTGAACTTTCTCACCACAGCATGAGGTGATGCCAGGGAGAGTCACCAGCCAAGAAAATTCGAGAGAACTGAGGCCTGGAGATTCTCCAGGGGGTTATTCCAGCCCCAAAGCATCCCAAGATGGGAAGAGGCAGAGCTCCAGCAGAGCCAGGCAGGGAGCTCCAGCCCCTCTGACTTTGTGCAGCTTTCAGGGAAAGGTGTGGACTCCGGGAATGTGGCTGCTGCTGTTGGATTGGTGCTGGAAAATCATGGAAAACAGGAATTCCTGCTCTGCCACAGGCTCAGGGCAGGGATTAATGGGGTTCTTTGCCCCAAAAAGTGCTGGAGCCCATCTGAATGGAACAATCTGACGGTGTAGGCAGAGCAGGATGGTTCCCAGCTCTAACCACATTCCTGAACTTTCTCCTTTGTGCCTGAGTCACCGAGGAGGGACGGGTTTCACCGCCGGGATTTTGTGTAACGTCACCACAGCGTCACCAGCAAAGAAATCAGAAAGAGCTGAGCCCTGGTGGTTCTGCATTGGGTCATTCCAGCCCCAAAACTTCCCAAGATGGGAAAAGGCAGCGCTGGAGCTCCACCAGGGCCGGGCACGGAGCTCCAGCCCCCCTGAGTTCCAGGTGTGACTCCCGGAATTTCCTTTCAGTGCTCACACAGCCTGACCTAATTCCCCCTCCCCGAGCGGGCGCAGGGAGAGGCCGAGCCCGCCGCGTGTAATTAAAGCTGTTTTGGGATTATTTCCTGCACCAAAGTTGTTGTTTTGGTTTGTTTTGTTTTTCCCGACTCGCCTTTCCGGTTTGGAGCCCTGGGGGAGCAATGGGAGGGAGCAGCTGGAGGTGATTTTGGGAGGGACTGGTGGCACCGGGCACAGGCTGCGAGGAGCCCGCAGGGCTGGAGCTCCTGCTTTGTCCTGGATTTGTTTCCAGCACTCAGCAAAATTAGGGCCAGAAAGGAGGGGAAAAACCTGGCTTGGGATGAAGGGAAGGGAAGGGCACTTCCCCAGAGCCTGAAGGGGCTCCAGGAGAGCGGAGAAGGACTTGGGACAAAGGATGGAGGGATGGGACACAGGAAATGGCTTCCACTGCCAGAGGACAGGGTTAGTTGGGATTTTGGGATTCCTGGCTGGGAGGGTTGAGGGGCTGGCATGGAATTCCCAGAGCAGCTGCGGCTGCCCCTGGATCCCTGGCAGTGCCCAAGGCTGGGCAGGGCTCCTGGGACAGTGGGAGGTGCCAGGATTGGAACTGGATGGGCTCTAAGCTCCTTCCAACCCAAACCATTCCAGGATCCTGCTCTGCCCTGACCCCTCGCATGGCCTCGGTGAAATTGGTTAATTCTGATGGGTTTCACCACTTCAGGGCAAATAAACGTGTTTAAAATGGGATTAAAAATAGTGACGAGAAAACACCGGAATGAGAACTTAGAATGAGCCTTCTGCCACGGCACAAGCAGAGAAAATAATCCCCTTTATTCCCCCCAAAGCCGGCGCAGCTTCGGGAGCTTTGAAATGGGAACATTTGAACGAATAAACGCAGAAATGCCGGGAGGAAAATCCCCTGGGAGACCCTCCCAGCCCCATCCCTCCTCCCCCAGACCCCCCGGGCAGCCCCGGGCCGTTCCTGCCGGCCCCGGGACAGGGACCCCTAGAGGGGCCCGGGGGTGACCTGCCGGTGTCCCGGGGTGATTCCTCCTTGGAGAAACCCCGGTTCCCAAAGCTGCTCCTTCCCCGCGCCGCCCCCAGCACGGATCGGCGCCGGCTCTCCCAAATTGCACCGGTGCTCGGAAAGCTCTTCCAGCAGGATTGCAGCCGGCGGGTGGTTTAGTGCCTCCGGATGGAACCACTGCCAACATCCCGCGGTTTCCATCCCCCGAATCCCGAGTGGGGCTTTTCCCGTCCCTGCGAGCCGGGCGGCTGGGAGCGACCAGCGCTGCCCGGACCCCGCAGCTCCGTGCTGGCCGGGTCCTGTCCTGTCCTGTCCTCTCCATCTCCATTTCCCTCTCCCTCTCCCTCTCCCTCTCCCTCTCCCTCTCCTCTCCATCTCCATCCCGGCCCTCAGCCGTGCCTGGCCAGCACTCACTGGGGACAGGGAAACATTTGTCTTATTCCTTTCTATTCTTTCCCTTTTTCTTTCCTTTCCCCTTATTCCTTTCCCTTTCCTTATTCCTTTCCTTTTTCTTTCCTTATTCCATTCCCCTTTCCCTTCTCTTTTCAGCTTTCCTTTGTCCTTTCCTTATCCCTTTCCCATTTCTTTTTCTTTTCTCTTTTTCCTTTCCCCTTCCCTTTTCTTTTCCTTGTTCCTTTCCCGTTTCTTTTTTCCTTTCCTTATTCCTTCCCTTTTCCCTTTCCTTATCCCTTATCCCTTTCTCTCTTCACCTTCCCTTTCCCCTTTCCTTTTTCCTTTCCTTATTCCATTCCCCTTTCTTTTTCCTTCTTTTTCCTTTCCCCTTCCACTTTCTGTTCCTTGTTCTGTTCCCCTTTCCTTTCGCTTTTTAACTTTCCTTTCTCCTTCCCTTATTCCTTCCCTTTCCTTTGCCTTATTCCTTTCCTTTTCCTTATTCCCTTTTCCTTATTCCCTTTTCTTTTCCTTATTCCCTTTCTTTTTCCTTATTCCATTCCCCTTTCCTTATTCTATTCCCCTTTCCTTTTTCTGTTCCCTTTTCCCTTCCCTCATTCCCCTGCCTTATTCCTTTCCTTTGCCATATTCCTTTCCTTGTCCTTATTCCCTTTTCCTTATTCATCTTCTTTTCCTTATTCCCTTTCCTTTTCCTTATTCCCTTTTCTTTTCCTTATTCCTTCCCTTTTTCGTTTCCCCTTTCCTTATTCTATTCCCTTTTCCTTTTTCTGTTCCCTTTTCCCTTCCCTCATTCCCCTCCCCCTGGGATAATTCCCCACCCCAAATCCGCTCCTCTCCAGCCCCTCCCGGGATGGATTCCACCCCCAGCCCCGCTTTCCCTGCAAATCCCCGACTTTATTCCCCTTATTTCCACCTCATCCTGGCCAGGAGAAACTTTTCCATTTCTCCGGGGGGATCCTGGAGCGGGCACAGGCGGTGCTGCCGCTCAGTGGCAAAACACAGGAGAATTCCCCTTTTCTCCATGGAATTCCCCCCCTTCCTTGATTTTTTTTTAAATCAAATTAATGTATTTATTCTTTAGATAGTAAATATTGAGATGTTTATTAGAGCTGCTACAACCACTGGATATTTATAACAATAGAGTTCAAAATATTGGTATAGTGATAGCTGAAAATTGAATTGATTCCAAAATATTGACACATGTATAAGTTTATTTTAAAATATTGACACTTTTATAGCTATAAATTTAATATATTTCAAAATATTGACACATTTGAAAGTATAAATTTTATATATTTCAAAATAGCAACGCACTTATAGCTACAAATTTAATATATTTCAAAATATAGTCACATTCTTAGCTACAAATTTTATATCTTTCAAAATATTGACACAGTTATAGCTATAAATGTTATATATTTCTCCGTTTTGGCATATTTATAGCCATAAATGCCTATTTCTGCCGTTAAACGGTGTTTTTATAGCGATTTTTGGCCGGTTTTACCGGCAGCGCGCCCGGCTCATGGCCACGCCCCCACCATGGCCACGCCCCCTAAGCCACGCCCCCGGGGAATCCCTTCTCGGCCCCGCCGTGACGTCAGCGCGCCCTGCGTCACGTCCGGCGGCGCACCCGGAAGTGGCGTGGGCCGGTTGCCATGGGGCGGCCCGGGAGGTGAAGTTGGGGGGAGAGAGCGAGGGAAACACCGGGACCGGGAATGGGACCGAGAACTGGACCGGGATCTGGAATGGGAATGGGATCGGGACCGGGAATGGGATCGGGACCGGGAATGAGATCGGGACCGGGGTCGGGATCGCCGGGGGCCGCGGGGTTCGGGGGGAGCCGAGCCGGACCCTGCGGGATGGCGGCGGCCGTGGGGACGGGCGGGGGGCCTGGACCAGCTCGTTCCGCTCCGCGCCCCTTCCCCGTCCCTTCTCTCCTTGCCTCCATCCCGTTCCCTCCATCCCGTTGTCCCCCCATCCCGGTATTCCCCCATCCCGTTGTTCCCCATCCCGGTGTTCCCCATCCCGGTGTCCGCGGTCCCCTCCGGCCGCTCGGCCCTGCTCAGCGCCCTGGGGCGGGATCATCCCTCGGGACAGCCCCGGCTGCGTCCCTGAGGGGCAATTCCTGCATTTCCTTGTTTCTTTTGGGGTTTTGCTGGTGCTTGATCCTGCCAGGGGTCCCAGAATCCCGGGGTGCTGTGGGTGGGAAGGACCTTAAATAGGATCCCCAAATCCCACCCAGCTCCAGCCCCAGCACCCCCTCTGGACCGGCTGCTCCAGCCTGGCCTTGGGCACTGCCGGGATCCGGGGACAGCCCCAGCCCCTCCCCACCGTGCCCGAGGGGATTCCGTGCTTCCATCCCCTCTGGATTCCTGTTTCCCTTTGGATTCCTGCATCCCTTACTCGGGAAAGCCCCGGGATGGCAGCCCCAGCGGTGCTGAGGGGAGGGAAGGGAAGGAAAGGGAAGGGAAAGGGGAAGGGGAAGGGAAGGGAAGGATCCCATCCCAGGATGTTCCTCAGGGATCTCCCTGTGTGTGCAGGCAATCAGCTGCCTTGCTTTTCCCTCAGGAGCAGAGCAGGGATGGCTCAGGGCACGTGGGATGTTCCTGGTCCCTCCGAGGTCACCGGCTGAGGCTCCACAGCTCCTGCTGCTGCCCCGCTCCCACAATGGGCAGGTAAGGATCCCAGAGGGACTGTGGGATAAACTGGAAAGGCCTTGGAGGGAAGGACAGGAAACCTAATCAGGAATTGTAGCATGGGAATGATGTCCTGAGTCCTCTCAATCCAGAGCAGAATCCTGGAAGGTGTTGGGTTGGAAGGGGCTTTAGGGATCATCCCACCCCTGCCACGGCAGGGACACCTCCCACTGTCCCAGGGGGCTCCAGCCTGGCCTTGGGCACTTCAGGGATCCAGGGGCAGCCCCAGCTCCCAGGGAATTCCATCCCAGCCCCTCCTCAATGTCCCATCCATCCCTGCTCTCTGGCAGTGGGAGCCATTCCCTGTGTCCTGTCCCTCCATCCCTTGTTCCCAGCCCCTCTCCAGCTCTCCTGGAGCCCCTTCAGGCTCTGGGGAAGTGCCCTGAGGTCCTCCCAGATTTCTCCAGGATCATCCCCAGATTTCCATTCCCTGAATCCCAGGCCAGGCTTTTCCCTCCTTCCTGGCTCTAATTTTCTTGAGGTTTTGAAAGGAAGCCAGGAGATAAAAAGGAGCTGCAGCCCCAAACCCAGCAAATCCCATGGGATCCTTCCATCCTCCTCAGCCCCACTCCCAGGGATGGGGCAGGAGTGGGAATTCCATCCCAGCCCCTCCCCACCCTCCAGGGAGGAATTTTTCCTGCGTTTAGCACCAAATCCACCACTCAATCCTCTCGTTTCTCCCTTGGGATCCCAGGATCAGCATCTCCTGCCTGCTCCCGGCCTCGTGGCACTTCAGCCTGTCGCCCGTGGGGTGTCCGCGGGTCCTGAACGCGTCCCTGCGGCAGCTGCTGCTGCTCGGGGCGGCCGCGGCCGCGGCGGCGCTGCTGCTCTGCTCCCTGCTGCTGATCCGCGGCAAGCACCGCGCCCGGGAGGCGAAATTCCACAGGTGAGAGCGAGGGAATCCATGGGAAACAGGGAATGGGGAAAGGGGAAATGCTGCTCTGCTCCCTGCTGCTGATCCGCGGCAAGCACCGCGCCCGGGAGGCGAAATTCCAGAGGTGAGAGCGAGGGAATCCATGGGAATGGAGCCTGGGGAAAGGGGAAATGCTGCTCTGCTCCCTGCTGCTGATCCACAGCAAGCAGGGACACCTCCCACTGTCCGGGAGGGGAAATTCCACAGGTGAGAGGGGCTGGAGTTCCATGGGAATGGAGGGAAAGGGGAAATGCTGCTCTGCTCCCTGCTCCTGATTCTAGGAAATATGGCCGAGCCCGGGATGGGAGATTCCACAGGTGAGAGGGGAGGGAATTCCACGGGAACAGGGGATGGAGCCTGGGGGAAAGAGGGAACGATCACAGGTCTCCCTGCTCCTGATCCTGGGCAAGCGCCAGCCCGGGATGGGAGATTCCACAGGTGAGAGGGAGGGAATCCATGGAAAACAGGGGAAGGGGAAATGCTGCTCTGCTCCTGATCCGAGAGAAGTACCAAACTTGGGATGGGAGATTCCACAGGTGAGAGGGAAGGGAATTCCACAGGAACTGGGGATGGAGGCTCCTGATCCTGGGCAAGCGCCAGCCCGGGATGGGAGATTCCACAGGTGAGAGGGAGGGAATCCATGGGAAACAGGGGAAGGGGAAATGCTGCTCTGCTCCTGATCCGAGAGAAGTACCAACTTGGGATGGGAGATTCCACAGGTGAGAGGGAAGGGAATTCCACAGGAACTGGGGATGGAGCCTGGAGGAAAGAGGGAACGATCACAGGTCTCCCTACTCCTGATCCTGGGCAAGTGCCAGGCCGGGATGGCAGATTCCAGAGGTGAGAGGGGAGGGAATCCATGGGAAACAGGGAATGGGGAAATGCTGCTCTGCTCCTGATCCACGGGAAGTACTGAGCCCAGGATGGGAATTCCATGGGAAACAGGGAATAGGGCCTGGGGGAAAGGGGAAATGTTGCTCTGCTCCCTGCTCCTGATCTGTGGGAAATACAGCAGGACAGCCCGGGATGGGAGATTCCACAGGTGAGAGGGAGGGAATTCCATGGGAAAGAGGGAAAAGATTCTGTGGAAAATAATGAAATGGAGCTTTGGAGGAAGGGGGAAACGCTGCTCTGCTCCTGATCCACAGCAAAACCAGCTGGACCCAGAACAGGAGCTTCCACAGGTGAGAGGGAGAGAATTCCATGGAAAACAGGGAAATGCAGCTCTGGGGGAAAGGAGGAAAGAATTCCATAGAAAACAGGGAATGGAGCCTGGGGGAAAAGGGAAATGCTGCTCTGCTCCTGATCTCAGGGAAGTACTGAGCCCGGGATGGGAGATTCCATAGGTGAGAGGAGAGGGAATTCCATGAAAAACAGGGAAATGGAGCTCTGGGGGAAAGGGGAAAAGAATTCCATGGAAAAGAGGGAAGTGGAGCTTTGGGGGGAAAAGGGAAAAGAATTCCATGGAAAAGAGCTTGGGGGGAAATGGGAAACACTCAGGTTGTGTTGGTGGTACAGGGAGTAGCTTTTCCCATCCATCTTTATCTTGCCTAAAACAAAACATTTCCTGCTTTTTTTAGGAAGCTTTTCAGGGGTTTATATTTTTTGCCTCTGTAGGAGCTCTAGGGGCTAAAATTCTCCATAATAAAAAAATTTGGGGAATTGCTTTTGCCATTTGCTGTGGGGATTTGATCCTTGAGGTTGGCACTTCTGTGGTTGTTTCTGGGATCCTCAGGATGAATGATTGGATCTGACTCCATGTTCTTAGAAGGCATATTATATTAATTATATTAATTACATTAATTATATTAATTATATTAATTATATAATATGATATATTATATAATTATATTATATTATATTATATTAAAACAATACTAAAGGTAGAGAAAGGATACAGACAGAAGGCATAACAAGAATGAATAATGAAAACTCGTGACTCTCCAGAGTCCTGACACAGCTGGGTTGGTAATTTGTTTGATTGGTCATTAAGTGAGAACAATTCACATGTTAGATAAACAATCCCCAACCACATTCCAAAGCAGCAAAACACTCTCTGAGGCTTCTCAGCTTCCCAGGAGAAGAATCCTGGGCAAAGAGGATTTTTCAGAAAATATCACAGTGACACGCTTCTCTTGGAATTTTCTGTGAAGCAGGGGCAGGAATGGCTTCCTTCTGCCAGAGGCAAGGATAGATGGGATGTTGGGAAGGAATTCCTGGCTGGGATGGAATTCCCAGAGCAGCTGGATCCCTGGCAGTGCCCAAGGCCAGGAGCCCCCTGGGACAGCAGGAGGTGTCCCTGAGGGTGGCACTGGATGAGATTTAAAATCCCACCCAACTCGCCCCAAAACCGCCCAGTTTTGAAGGTGATTTTCACCAAAACATCCGTAGGGAGCCAAATCCCCTGCAGCAATTCCCATTTTTCCCCAGGTACCTGGCCAGGGTGACGGACATGGAGGCCACGGACACCGGGAACCCCAACCTGAGCTACGGCATCGTGGTGGACTGCGGCAGCAGCGGCTCCAGGGTGTTCGTGTACTGCTGGCCCCGGCACAACGGCAACCCCAAGGACCTGCTGGACATCCAGCAGATGAGGGACAGCTCCAGGAAACCCGTGGTGATGAAAATCAAACCAGGTATGGCTGAAAACGTGGAATTTCTCCGTGGTTTCCTCTCTTAGCTGTGCTTCCTGCACTGCAAAGGGGCTGCATAAGGGATATTTCAACCTTGAGAGCATGGGACAGCTCCAGGTTTCTTTGGGATTGGTTTGCAGGAGTTTAAATCTGGAATGGGGCAGGAGGGAGAGGTTTTTTCCAAGGATGAGGCAGGGGCTGTCCTCACAACCAGCTGGACATCCAGCAGATGAGGGACAGCTCCAGGAAACTCGTGGTGATGAAAATCAAACCAGGTACTGAAAAAACATGGAATTTCTCCATGGTTTCCTCTCTTAACTGTGCTTCCTGCACTGCAAAGTGGCTGATAAGGGAAATTTTAGGTGGGAGAGCTCCAGGTTTCTTTGAGGTTGGTTAGCAGGAGTTTAAATCTGGAATGGGGCAGGAGGGAGAGGTTTTTTCCAAGGATTAGGCAGGTGCTGTCCCCATGAGGTCCTGGGACAGCATCAGGGAACCGTGGTGATGAAAATCAAAGCAGGGGCTGGGAAAAACATGGAATTTCTCCATGATTTCCTCTCCTGAGTGTGCTTCTTACAATGCAAAGTGGCTGGATAAGGGAAATTTCCAGGTGGGAGAGCTCCAGGTTTCTTTGGGATTGGTTTGCAGGGAGTTTACTGGAGGTTAAACTTTGAAATAGGCAGGAGGGAGAGGTTTTTTCCAAGGATAAGGCAGGTGCTGTCCTCACAACCAGCTGGACATCCAGCAGATGAGGGACAGCTCCAGGAAACTCATGGAGATGAAAATCAAACCAGGTACTGGCACAAAGGTGGAATTTCTCCAGGCTTTCCTCTCTTAACTGTGCTTCCTGCACTGCAGAGGGTCTGGATAAAGGAAATTTCCATGTTGTGAGTGTGGAACGACTCCAGAGTTTTTAAGGATTGGTGTAGGGAGTTTTGTGGAACTCAAGTCTGGAGTAGGGCAGAAGTGAGAAGTTTGTCCATAGGACAGCAACAGGAAAAGGTGGTGACAAAAATCAAGCCAGGTGCTGGGAGAAACATTGAATTTCTCCAAGATTGCCTCTTCTAACTCTGCTCCCTGCTCTCCAAAGTGGCTGATAAGGGAAATTCCGATGCTGCGAGTGTGGAACAACTCCAGGGTTTTTAGGGATTGGTTGTAGGGAGTTTTGTTGAGCATGAAGTCTGGAATGGGGCAGGAGGGAAACAAGGGGGTGACAGCAACAGGAAAATCAGCAGGAAAATCAAACCAGGAGGAACATGGAATTTCTCCATGATTTCCTCTCCCAACCTGGCTTCTTGCACATATTTCCAGGTGGAACAGCTCCAGGGTTCTTTGGGATTGGTTTGCAGGAGTTTAAGTCTGGAATGGGGCAGGAGAGAGAGGTTTGTAATGGATAAGGCAGGTGCTGGTCCTGTTATAATTTACCTTTATTCTCTCTATTTCATGAAGAAATAATTGTGTTCCTGTGAAGTTATTTCAGCCAATTATTATCAATAATTATCTATAAATTATGTAAAAGTTATCACATCAACACAAGTTTTATTTAAGTTCTAAAGGATGTTCAGGTGTCACCTTCATCCTTTTTTTCCCCATTTCCCCTCCATTTTTTCCCTATCTTTTCCTTATTTTCCTATATTTCCTTATATTCCTTATTTTAAACTCTCTGCAAACCAATCCCAAGGAACCTGGAGCTGTTCCATGCTGGAAATTTCCCTTATCCAGCCCCTTTGGAGTGCAGGAAGCACAGTTAGGAGACAAAACCACGGAGAAATTCCATGTTTTTCCCAATACCTGCTTTGATTTTCATCACCTTTTCCTGTCCCATGGCAAAACCTTTCTCTCCTGCCCCATTCCAGGTTTGAGCTCCACAAAACTTCCTGCAAACCAATCCCAAAGAAACCTGGAAATTTCCCTTATCCAGCCCCTTTGGAGTGCAGGAAGCACAGTTAAGAGAGGAAATCGTGGGGAAATTCCATGTTTTTCCCAGTACCTGCTTTGATTTTCATCACCACCTTTTCCTGTTGCTGTCCCATGGAAAAGCCTCTCCCTCCAGCCCTATTCCAGACTTTAAAATTCCCTGCAAACCAATCCCAAAGAAACCTGAAAATTTCCTTTATCCAGCCACTTTGGAATGCAGGGAGTTAGGAGAGGAAAGCGCCATCAAAAATAAGAATTCCATCATTTTTACAGCTCATTTCCCACTTCCCTTCATTCCTTTGCTCAGGATTTTCCAGGGAATGCTGCAGCTGGAGCTGCTCCACTCCCACTTTTCTGTTTTCCCAGGAATTTCTGAGTTTGCCAGCTCTCCTGACAAGGTCAGTGATTACATCTCACCCCTGCTGAGCTTCGCTGCCGAGCACGTGCCCCGCTCCAAACACAAGGAGACTCCTCTCTACATCCTGTGCACTGCAGGCATGAGGATCCTGCCCGAGAGGTCATTCCCTGCTTGGGTTTTTTTTTGGGAATTCCAACCAAATCCCAGCTTTTTTTAAGCTTTTTTTGTGGAATTTTGCAGCCAGCAGAAAGCCATCCTGGAGGATCTGCTCACGGACATCCCCGTGCACTTTGATTTCCTCTTCTCTGACTCCCACGCTGAGGTGATTTCTGGGAAGCAGGAAGGTAGGTGGGCCTTGGGAAAGTGTCTGGGGAATATTTAGGAATTCCAAGGGATTATTTGGGGTATTTTTTATTGGTTTTTCAAATCCTGCTTTGCTTGAGAGCCTTGATTCCTCAGGAAAGGAATATTCCTTTGTTCCTCTGGAGTGATGGGAGCTCCTGATGGGCCAAATGTTTGCTGATTATCCCTGAAAATTTACTGAAATTGGATCTGGAAAATATTTAGGATTTCCTCTAATGGAATTGAATCTGGAAAATATTTGGAATTTCCAAGGGAAGGCTTGGGGTGTTTTTGTTGCTTTTTGAAATCCTGCTTTTCTTGGGAGCCTTTGTTCCTCAGGGGATCTGGAGCTCCTGATGGGCCAAATATTTTCTGATTATCCCTGAAAATTTAATGGAATTCAATCTGGAAAATATCTGGGATTTCCAAGGAATGCTTTGGGGTATTTTTGTTGCTTTTTCAGATCCTGATTGGCCAAATCTTTGCTGATTATCCCTGAAAATTTAGTGGCACTGAATCCATTTCCTCTAGAGGGAGGGGAAGGATAAATCCCAACATTCCTGATGGAAGGAACTTTGCAGGATGAGATGATTTTGAAAGCAGAGATATTTTGATGTGATCACCAGAGCCTTAAAATCCCTTTAAAATTTCATTTCCTTCAATTCTTTCCTGAATTTTACACATCAAAGTGTCTTTAATTCATTCAGCCAGGAATTTTGTCATGGCATTGACCTGGGAGAGGAGAAAATCATCAGGAATTCCCAATGGAATTAATGATTTCCTAGGAATGTTTCATGTCTACAATTTTATAAAATTAGCAATAACAGAGTTGAACTCACACAGAAAAAAAAAAAAATTTGAATGTTTCAATCTGCTTTCAAGTTCATAATCCAGCTATTCCTGATATTCCTGAAATCCCAGATCTGTTTTATTTCCACCTGCAGGAGTCTATGCATGGATTGGGATCAACTTTGTCCTTGGGAGATTTGAGCACACGGACGATGGTGAGGATCTGAAGGGGGGCTGGGGCTCCAGGTGGTGATTTTCCAGCCAGATGTTGGGATGCAATTCCAGCCAGATGTTGGGATTCAATTCCAACCATGGGACTTGCATTTCCAGATGTGGGGATGCAGTTCCAGCCATGGGAGTTGCATTTCCAGATGTTGGGATGCAGTTCCAGCCATGGGAGTTGCATTTCCAGATGTTGGGAAGCAATTCCAACCATGGGACTTGCATTTCCAGATGTTGGGATGCAGTTCCAGCCATGGGAGTTGTATTTCCAGATGTGGGGATGCAGTTCCAGCCATGGGAGTTGCATTTCCAGATGTTGGGATGCAGTTCCAGCCATGGGAGTTGCATTTCCAGATGTTGGGATGCAGTTCCAGCCATGGGAGTTGCATTTCCAGATGTTGGGATGCAGTTCCAGCCAGATGTTGGCAGCTGCTACAGGGGTTGGGTTTGGCTGCACTCCCACCTGGAACTTTAACAGCCACAAACAGCAGCTCCCCTGCGCCCTCCCTGGCTGGATCCCTGGAATTTTTCCCTGTTTCCCACTGATTTTTCCCTCTTTCCCACTGATTTTTCCCTGTTTCCCACTGATTTTTCCCTGTTTCCCATTGATTTTTCCCTCTTTCCCACTGATTTTTCCCATGTTTTTCCCAGAGGGCTAGGCAGTGATGGAGGTGCAGATCCCAGGCAGTGAGCACAGGGATTTTTCCCTGTTTTCCATTGATTTTTCCCATATTTTTCCCAGAGGATGAAGCCATGGTGGAGGTGCAGGTCCCAGACAGCGAGCACAGGGATTTTTCCCTGTTTCCCACTGATTTTTCCCTATTTCCCATTGATTTTCCCCTGTTTCCCATTGATTTTTCCCTGTTTCCCATTGATTTTTCCCTGTTTCCCACTGATTTTTGCCCCCCTGTTTCCCATGGATTTTTCCCTGTTTCCCATTGATTTTTCCCTGTTTCCCACTGATTTTTGCCATGGATTTTCCTGTTTCCCAGAGGATGAAGCCGTGGTGGAGGTGCAGGTCCCTGGCAGCGAGCCCAGGGATTTTTCCCTGTTTCCCATTGATTTTTCCCTGTTTCCCACTGATTTTTGCCATGGATTTTCCTGTTTCCCAGAGGATGAAGCCGTGGTGGAGGTGCAGGTCCCTGGCAGCGAGCACCACGATCCCATTTTCCGCAAGAGGACCGTGGGGATCCTGGACATGGGCGGGGTCTCCACGCAGATCGCCTACGAAGTGCCCCAAAGTGTAAGCCTTGCCTCCCCTCACCAGGTCATTATCCAGGAATTCCCCCTTCCCTCGGGGCTAATTTTAACACATTTCCTTTCTTTCCCATCCTTTGGAATCCTCCATCATCCCATTCCCAAATAATTCCTTTGGTTTTTTCTTTCCCATCACTCTAATCCTGCATTAATCCTTCATTTTTTAGTCTTTGTGGACAATTTTAAATCCCTTACGTTCCAAAATTTGCATCCTGGGGCTTAGAACCCAAAAATTCCTGGTGGTTCCTATGGAAAAACCTTCCATAAAAATGACTTTTTCCTTTAATTTTTGGCAGAAATGGAATTAGCAGTTATGAATGTCACAGAATTGCTTTGTCCCAAACTGAACATAAATTTCTGCAATTCCACTGAGTTCTGGAGCAATTCCTGAATTTTTCAAGCTGAACTTCCCATGAAATTAATTGGGAATTATTCTAAAGGAAAAACAGCTTCAAATCCCCGTGTTTGGCTCTGTTCTAATAATGGATAAATTGAGTTTTTAAATCCTGTGGAATGGTGTTTCCCTAATTAATTACCTAATTCCTCTGTTTTAATTAACAAAAGGTATAAGAAATTATTTGGAATTATTAAAATCTGGGCATTCAGCTCCAGAGCAGATCCAGTCAAATATCAACTGGGAAAACAGGGATGAAAATTCCTGCCTGTGGGGTGGTTTTATCTGAGCATAAATGGATATAAAATGGGAATTTTGGTCATGGAATCTGTCCTGGGAATCAGGAATGGGAGGGGGGGAAGTGAAGCACTGAATTCAGCAGCCACAATCCACATTTTTCTGTGGGAGAAGAAAATTCCAGGCTCCACAGAAGCAATTCCTGGGCTTTGTAGAGCCAGGAATCTGAAATTCCAAGATTTTGCTGTACCTATGAAGTGATCTTTTTCAAAATGATGTGGGAAGTGATCATTCCCAAGGAAAACTCTTTTATTTTGTTCTCCCTATGAAATAATCTTGCATTTTCCAAATAAAATGGGAGAGATGATCATTCCCAAGGAAAATTCTTTCATTTCGCTCTCCCTCTGAAATAATCTTGGATGTTCTAAATAATGTTGGAGATGATCATTCCCAAGGAAAATTCCTCAGTTTTGCTCTTCCTCTGAAATAATGGTGGATTTTCTGAATAATGTGGGAGATGATCATCCCTGAGGAAAACTCCTCAAAGAACTGGATTATCAAGGGCTGGAAAGCATTGGAAACTGCCCAGGGCAGTGTGGGGTTCCCATTCCTGAGAATATCCAAAAACCACGGGTGTGGCTCTTCAGGACTCTGGGACTGATGATCTTCAAGATCTTTTCCAAGCAGAACCCTTCCACAATCCTGTGGGAATATCCTTTATCCAGAGTGCAGGAAGCACAGACAGGAGAGGGAAGCTTGAAAGAGATGGGTGAACTTAAAGGTGTCCAAGACATCCCAAAAAATTCATTTTAGGACCAGGATCATCCCATTGATTCCTGATTTTGCCGTTGGATTGATGATCTTCAAGATCTTTTCCAGCAGTCCTGTGGGAATATCTTGTATCCAGAGTGCAGGACAGACGGGAGGGGGAAGCATGAAAGAGATGGGTGAACTTAAAGGTATACAAGACATCCCAAAAAATTCATTTTGGGATCAGGACCATCCCAGTGATTCCTGATTTTGCTGTTGGGTTGATGATCTTCAAGATCTTTTCCAAGCAGAACACCTCCATGATGTTGTGGGAATATCCAAATATCCTGGCAATATCCAAAAACCACAGAAGTGGCTCTTCAGGACTGTTGGGTTGATGATCTTCAAGATCTTTTCCAGCAATCCTGTGGGAATCTCTTGTATCCAGAGTGCAGGACATACAGATGGGAGAGGGAAGCATGAAAGAGATGGATGAAATTAAAGGTGTCCAAGACATCCCAAAAAATTAATTTTAGGATCAGAACGATCCCAGTGATTCCTGATTTTGCTGTTGGGTTGATGATCTTCAAGATCTTTTCCAACAATGCCATGGGAATATCCTTTATCCAGAGTGCAGGACACACAGACAGGAGAAGAAAGCACTAAAGAGACGAGTGAGGGGTGAGCTTAAAGGTGTCCGAGACATCCCAAAAAATTCATTTTAGGATCAGGACCATCCCAGTGATTCCTGATTTGCTGTTGGATTGATGATCTTCAAGATCTTTTCCAACAATGCCATGGGAATATCCTTTATCCAGAGTGCAGGACACACAGACAGGAGAAGAAAGCACTAAAGAGATGAGTGAGGGGTGAATTTAAAGGCCTCCAAGACATCCCAAAAAATTCATTTTTGGACCAAGACCACGCCAATGACCCCTGATTCTGCTGCTGCAGGAGGAGGTGGCCAAGAGCTTGCTGGCAGAGGTGAATCTGGGCTGCGATGCCCACCAGACGGAGCACGTGTACCGCGTGTACGTGGCCACCTTCCTGGGCTTCGGCGGCAACGCGGCGCGCAGGAGGTACGAGGAGAGCCTCTTCTCCAGCAGCCTCCTCAGGAACAGGTACCTGAATTCCCTGGATTTCAATTCCGTGGTTGTGCTCGAGGGTCCCAGGATGAGGGAAGAGATGAGAGTCCTGACTCTGTTTCAGAAGGTTGATTTATTGTATTATTATATTATATTAAAATGCTATACTGAAAAGAAAGAAAAGATTTATCAAAAAGCTAGAAAAGAAAGAAAAAGAGTAATAACAAAAGCTCGTGACTCTCAAAGTGTCCACACAGCCAGACCATGGTTGGTCATTAAATAAAAACGTCTCACATGGACCAATCACAGATGCACCTGGATAAACAATGCCCAGACCACATTCCACAGCCATCCGTTACTGTTTACATTCCTTTTCTGAGGCTTCTCAACTAAAATAGGAGAGAAATCCTAACGAAGGATTTTTATAAAAATATCACAGTAACAGGGCTGCTCCATCCCTGGGAGAGCCAGCTTGGAGCAGCCTGAGGTGGTCCTGGAAAGATGGGAATGATCCTGGATGTTCTGCGGAGAGATCACAGCACTTGCAGTGTGTGATGGGGAGAGATTGGATTTGTGAAGGAATTCCCAGGATGGGGGTGCTGAAGGGGATGGAATGGAATTCCCAGAGGAGCCTGGATCCCTGGGAGTGCCCAAAGTCAGCTTGGAGCAGCCTGGGGTGCTGGGAGGTGACCCTGGAAAGATGGGAATGATGGGATGGGATGGGAATTAGGGATGGGAATTATGGAAGGGAAAATCTGGGAAGTGGAGAGGGAATTGGAGTAATGGGTTCAGCTGAAAAAGGGGGAATTTAAGGTGGGCCTTGCTGAGCTGGGCCTTGCTGAGCTCTGTCCCTGTTCCCAGGCTGCTGGGCAGGCAGCGTGGGCTGAGCCGGGCATTGCTGAGCCAGGCCTGGCTGATCTCTGTCTCTCCCCCAGGCAGGCCGGGCTGAGCTGGGCCTTGCTGAGTTGGGCCTTGCTGATCTCTCTCTCTCTCTCTCCCAGGCTGGGTGAGCAGGCCAGGCTGAGCTGGGCCTTGCTGAGCCAGGCCTGGCTGATCTCTGTCCTAGGCCAGGCTGAGCCAGGCCTGGCTGATCTCTCTCCCTGTCCCGGGCCCTGCTGAGCCAGGCGTGGCTGATCTCTCTCCCTGTCCCAAGCCAGGCCTGGCTGATCTCTCTCCCTGTCCCGGGCCCTGCTGAGCCAGGCCTGGCTGATCTCTCTCCCTGTCCCGGGCCCTGCTGAGCCAGGCCTGGCTGACCTCTCCCTGTCCCGGCCCTGCTGAGCCAGGCCTGGCTGATCTCTCTCCCTGTCCCGGCCCTGCTGAGCCAGGCCTGGCTGATCTCTCTCCCTGACCCGGGCCCTGCTGAGCCAGGCCTGGCTGATCTCTCTCCCTGTCCCAAGCCCTGCTGAGCCAGGCCTGGCTGATCTCTCTCCCTGACCCAGGCCCTGCTGAGCCAGGCCTGGCTGACCTCTCCCTGTCCCGGCCCTGCTGAGCCAGGCCTGGCTGATCTCTCTCCCTGTCCCGGCCCTGCTGAGCCAGGCCTGGCTGATCTCTCTCCCTGACCCGGGCCCTGCTGAGCCAGGCCTGGCTGATCTCTCTCCCTGACCCAGGCCCTGCTGAGCCAGGCCTAGCTGACCTCTCCCTGTCCTGGCCCTGCTGAGCCAGGCCTGGCTGATCTCTCTCCCTGTCACAGGCCTTGCTGAGCCGGGCCTGGCTGATCTCTCTCCCTGACCCGGGCCCTGCTGAGCCAGGCCTGGCTGATCTCTCTCCGTGTCCCGGGCCTTGCTGAGCCAGGCCTGGCTGATCTCTCTCCCTGTCCCAGGCAGGCCGGGCTCAGCCCGCAGGCCCCGCTCCTGGACCCGTGCCTGCCGCGGGACGCGCGGGACGAGCTGCGGCACCGGGGGCTGACGCTGCACCTGCGCGGCACCGGCGACTTCCAGCTGTGCCGGGAGCGGCTGCGGCCGCTGCTGAACCGCACCAACGGCACCCGGAGCTCGCTGAACGGCGTCTTCCAGCCCCCCGTGCACCTCCAGAGCAGTGAGTTCTACGGCTTCTCCGAGTTCTACTACTGCACCGAGGACGTGCTGCGCATGGGCGGCGACTACAGCGCCGCCAAGTTCACCAGGGCTGCGCAGGTGAGAGAAAAGAGATCCATTTCTAGCTTAGAACATCCTCAAGGATGTTGTTCCCGAAGTCCTGCAGAAAAACACTGCCCTAAGAGATCCAAAAATTCATAAATTCACTAAACCTGCACAGGTGAAAGAAAACAGATCCATTTCTAATTCAGAACATCCACAAGGATGTTGTTCCCAAAGTCCTGCAGAAAAACACTGCTCTAAGAGATCCCAAATCCCCTAAGAAATCCCAAATTCCTTAAGAGATTCTAAATTCACTGAAGTTGCGCAGGTGAAAAAAAAAGGGATCAATTCCCCCATTTGTAACAGCCCTCCATGGGGATTTTGTTCCCAAAGTCCTGCAGCAAAACATTTCTTTAAGAGATCCCAAATTCCTTAAGAAATCCTAAATTCCTAAATTGGCTAAAGCTCACAGGTGAAAAAAAAAAAAAAAAAAAGGATCAGTTTAACATTAATTCCACCCCAAATTCCAAGAGCTGAACATTAATTCCACCCCAGACTCCAAATGTGTGGATTAGAATATTCCCACAAATTTTGGGAATATTCCCACAAATATTGGGAAAATTTTCCCACTCAAATCAAAATATTCCCACAAAATTTGGGATTTGCGTGACTGGATATTCCCAGAGAGTTGAACATTAATTCCACCCCAAATTCCAAGTGTGGATTAGAATATTCCCACGAAATTTGGGATCCTGGATATTCCCAGAGAGTTGAACATTAATTCCATCCCAAATTCCAAGTGTGGATTAAAATATTCCCACAAAATTTGGGATCCTGGATATTCCTAGAGAGTTGAACATAATTCCACCTCAAATTCCAAGAGTTGAACATTAATTCCCCCCCAGATTTCAAGGGTAGATCAAAATATTCCCATGAAATTTGGGAGTTGCCTGACTGGATATTCCCGGAGAGCTGAACATTAATTCCACCCCATATTCCAAGTGTGGGTTAAAATATTCCCATGAAATTTGGGATTTTCCTTGCTGGATATTCCCAGAGAGTTAAACATTAATTCCACACCAAATTCCAAATGTGGATTAGAATATTCCCACAAAATTTGGGATCCTGGGTATTCCCAGAAAATAGAACATTAATTCCACCTCAAATTCCAAGAGTTGAACATTAATTCCCCCCCAGATTTCAAGTGTAGATCAAAATATTCCCATAAAATTTGGGATCCTGGATGTTCCCAGAGAGTTGAACATTAATTCCACCCCAGACTCCAAATGTGGATCAAAATGTTCCCACAAAATTTGGGATCCTGGATATTCCCAGAGAGCTGAACATTAATTCCACCCCAGATTCCAAATGTGGATCAAAATATTCCCACGAAATTTGGGAGTTGCCTGACTGGATATTCCCGGAGAGCTGAACATTAATTCCACCCCAAATTCCAAGTGTGGATTACAATATTCCCACAAAATTTGGGATTTTCCTTCCTGGCAGTGCAAGCTGCTGTTACTTTTTGGTTTTTGGTGTTTCAGATCATTTTTTTTCTGGTGGGATTTTCCTTCTCCAGGCAGGAGGATTGCCGGGATCATTCCCTTTTTTCCACTGTTTTGGATTCCACAGGAATATTGTGCCACCCGGTGGTCGGTGCTGCGGGAACGCTTCGAGCGCGGCCTCTACGCCCCGCACGCGGATCTGCACCGGCTCAAGTGAGCGGGGTCGGGCTGGGGCTTGGGCTTGGGCCAGGAACTTCCTCCTGCCAGGGCCTGTCTGTTTGGTGGATCAGTGGAAGTGGGAAAAAAACTTGGGAAAGGCCTGAAAATTGGGAAAAAAATCCCTTGGAAATTGAGAATTCCGTGTTTAACTGTGCCCCGCGATCACTGAATGCTGAGCTGAGCTTATCCTGTTCTCCGTGACTGATCCTACTGTTCTGGCTGATCCCACCCAGAGCTGCCAAAGCCTTTCCATTTCATGGAAGTGGGGAAAAAGACTTGGAAAATCTGAGAATTCCGTGTTTGATTGTGACCAGTGGTTGCTGTAACGCTGAGCTGAGCTTATCCCGTTCTCCTTGATTGATCCCAGTGTCCTTAACTGGTCCCACTGTTCCTGGCTAATCCCAGAACTGCCAGGGCCTTTCTGTTTCATGGGACCACTGGAAGTGAGAAAAATACTTGGAAAAGCTGAGAATTCCATGTTTAATTCTGCCCTGTAATTTTGAGCTGAGCTTATCCCATTCTCCTTCAATGACCCACTGATCCCAAAGTCCTTAACTGTTCCCACTGTTCCTAACTGATCCCACTATCCCTGATCCCTGTCTGATCCCACATTTCCTGGCTGATCCCATTTTTCCTGCCTGATCCTATTGTCCCTGATCCCACATTTCCTGGCTGATCCCATTTTTCCTGGCTGATCCCACTGTCCCTGATCCCATTTCTCCTGGCTGACCCCACATTTCCTGGCTGATCCCACATTTTCTGACTGTCCCTGATCCCACGTTTCCTGGCTGATCCCACATTTCCTGCCTGATCCCCCTTTTCCTGGCTGATCCCACTGTCCCTGATCCAATTTTTCCTGTCTGATCCCACATTTCCTGGCTCATCCCACTGTCCCTGATCCCATTTCTCCTGGCTGATCCCATTTCTCGTTTCCTGGCTGACCCCACTCTCCCTCATCCCACGTTTCCTGGCTGATCCCACGTTTCCTGCCTGATCCCACGTTTCCTGCCTGATCCCACGTTTCCTGCCTGATCCCACGTTTCCTGCCTGATCCCACGTTTCCTGCCTGATCCCACGTTTCCTGCCTGATCCCACGTTTCCTGCCTGATCCCACGTTTCCTGCCTGATCCCACGTTTCCTGCCTGATCCCACGTTTCCTGCCTGATCCCACGTTTCCTGCCTGATCCCACGTTTCCTGCCTGATCCCACGTTTCCTGCCTGATCCCACGTTTCCTGCCTGATCCCACGTTTCCTGCCTGATCCCACGTTTCCTGCCTGATCCCACGTTTCCTGCCTGATCCCACGTTTCCTGCCTGATCCCACGTTTCCTGCCTGATCCCACGTTTCCTGCCTGATCCCACGTTTCCTGCCTGATCCCACGGTTCCTGGCTGACCCCACTGCTCTCCCCAGGTTCCAGTGCTTTAAGTCCGCCTGGATGTTCGAGGTTTTCCACCGGGGCTTCTCCTTCCCGGAGAGCTACGGGAGCCTGAAGACGGCGCTGCAGGTCTACGACAAGGAGGTGCAGTGGACCCTGGGGGCCATCCTCTACCGGACCCGCTTCCTGCCCCTCCGGTACCCCAGGAATCCGGGAAGAGCTTTGGGAAGGGGAATTGTGGGGTGGGAAGAGGTGCTGATCCCTTAAATTGGGGTTTTTAGAGCCTCGTCCCCAAAATGGGCTGGGATTCCTGCCCCGAGCCCAGCTGGAAGGGGAGTTTTGCCTCCAAAGTGTGTCTGCTCTTTTTCCCGGGACATCCTCTCAAAAATCTGGGAAAAGCCTTTGGGAGGGGAATTTTGGGGTTGGGAACTCGTGGCTTTTGCAGCACCAACTTGTGCTTTTTTTCTTATTCCACCAAATAAGCTCTGATTTCCACCAAGTTGGAAGCAGGACTTTGCCTCTAAGATGTGCCCATTGTACTTCTGCTCTTTCCAGAGACATCCTCTGAAAAATCTAGGAAAAGCCTTTGGGAGAGAAATTTTGGGATGGGAAGAGGTGGTGTCCCTCAAATTGTGGTTTTTAGATACAACCCTCCCAAAATGGGCTGTGATTCCCATCCTGTTTGATTCCCACCAAGCTGGAAACAGAACTTTGCCTCCAAAGTGTGTCTGCTCTTTTTCCCGGGACATCCTCTCAAAAATCTGGGAAAAGCCTTTGGGAGGGGAATTTTGGGGTTGGGAACTCGTGGCTTTTGCAGCACCAACTTGTGCTTTTTTTCTTATTCCACCAAATGAGCTCTGATTCCCACCAAGTTGGAAGCAGAACTTTGCCTCTAAGACGTGCCCATTGTACTTCTGCTCTTTCCAGAGACATCCTCTGAAAAATCTAGGAAAAGCCTTTGGGAGAAAAATTTTGGGATGGGAAGAGGTGGTGTCCCTCAAATTGTGGTTTTTAGATACAACCCTCCCAAAATGGGCTGTGATTCCCATCCTGTTTGATTCCCACCAAGCTGGAAACAGAACTTTGCCTCCAAAGCCTGTCTGTTGTCCCTCTGCTCTTTTCCAGGGACATCCTTTCAAAAATCTGGGAACCTCTCAAAAACCTGGGAAAAACCTTTGGGAGAGGATTGTGGGGGTGGGAACTTGTGCTTTTTAGAGCCTCAACTTGTGTTTTTTAGAGCCTAGGCTTGTGCTTTTATTCTTATTCCACCACATGAGCTCTGATTCCCCCAAACTGGCAGTGGAACTTTGCCTCCAAGATGTGCCCATTGTCCCTCTGCTTTTTTCCAGGGACACCCTCTCAGAAATCTGGGAAAAGCCTTTGGGAGAGGCTTTTGGGGTTGGGAATTTGTGTTTTTTAGACCCTGAGCTTGTGCTTTTATTCTTACTCCACCACATGAGCTCTGATTCCCCCAAACTGGCAGTGGAACTTTGCCTCCAAGACGTGCCCATTGTCCCTCTGCTTTTTTCCAGGGACACCCTCTCAGAAAGCTGGGAAAAGCCTTTGGGAGAGGATTTTGGGGTTGGGAATTTGTGGTTTTTAGAGCCTGAGCTTGTGCTTTTATTCTTACTCCACCACATGAGCTCTGATTCCCCCAAACTGGCAGTGGAACTTTGCCTCCAAGATGTGCCCATTGTCCCTCTGCTTTTTTTTCCAGGGACATCCTCAAAAATCTGGGAAAAGCCTTTGGGAGAGGATTTTGGGGTTGGGAATTTGTGTTTTTTAGAGCCTGAGCTTCTGCTTTTGTTCTTATTCCACCACATGAGCTCTGATTCCCCCAGGCTGGCGGTGGAACTTTGCCTCCAAGACGTTCCCGTTTTCCCTCTGCTCTTTTCCAGGGACATCCAGCAGGAGAATTTCCGTGGGATTCACTCGCACTGGAGGAGCTTCTCCTTTGTGTACAACCACTACCTGTTCCTGGCCTGCTTCCTGGTGGTGCTGCTCTCCATCCTGCTCTACCTGCTCCGCCTGCGCCGCATCCACCGCCGGCCGCTCCCCGGCGGCTCCTCCCCACCCCTCTGGATCCAGGAGGGGCTCCCCCCGCAGAAAATCCCGGGATAGGGCTCCAGGATGGAGGATTCATCCACACACACACACAAAAAAAAGCCATTTTTGCCTCAGGGTTCCTCCTTTTTTTGCCCCTTGTGGAGAAGCGGAGTTGGGGTGGTGAGGGAAAAATGCCAAAAAAAAAAGACTTTGCTGGGAATGTTGCACTTGGGGGTGTGCAGGAGAGGAGGGGTTGAGTTCCCACCTTTGGGAGAGGCTGAAATCCCAGGATGAGCTTGGATTTTCCTTGCTGGATTCCAGCATTGCCATCCCTGCTCTCACTTTGGAGTCTCAAAGAACGGGAAGTTCCAAAAGCAGGGGGACAAAAAAAAAAACCAACAAAAAAACCCTTTTAGGACATTTTAGGTGATTTTCTCTTCTGGAATCACTCCTGGGATGGAGAAGGAAAATCCCTCACATCCAATGCTGTGCTTCCATAAAAAACTGCTTCCATCACTTCTGCTCCCTCCTTTTTTTCCTTGGAAAAGAGAAAAGGATTTCCTCCTTTTTCACCCTCCCAGTGACACCAGTCGCTGCTTTTAATCCCAAATTTCTGTTCCATAATCGTGGAGAGACCTCCCAGAAACTCCAGGAATGTGAAGAGAACTGGAAAAATAGAGGAGAATGTGCACAGGGTCTTTCCAAGTCCTCTGGTAATTTATATTTTATTTAAAACTGTTGATTTTACTTGAAAGTCGATTTGTCCATGATTAAAAGTGGGATTTCTATGAACCTTTGGGGTGTGGGTGTTTATTTGTTAATTCTCCAGCTGGAAAACTTCTAAAAAGTGGGAAAGTGCTGGAAAATTTGATGGGTTTATTATTGGAGAAATGGATACAGTTTTTATCATAATTCATCTAAAAATCTGGATAACTGAAATTGGTTTTGATGGTTTTTTACCTTTGTACAGAGAATTTAGGCTGGAGCTGCTGAATTCCACCTAAATTTGGGTGCTGAACTTCTGCTCCTCCCACCCAGCATGTGCTGGAGCAGAATTCCCTGGATTTGGGGCAGAATTTTGGAGCAGAATCTTTCACTGGACCTTCAGAATTCCAAACATCTTCCTTTGGTAAAGGATATTTTTGGAGCTGACAAAATCAAAGTTTGGGGAGAGGTTAAATCCAAATCTTGGTTTTGGGTGAGGGATGAGAAAATCCAGGGCTGGAATTGGGATTTAAAATCAGGACTGATAAAAATGATCCCAAAATTGACCCTGGCAGAGCCTGAATTTCCTCTTCTCATTGGCCCAAATCTCCAATTTCAGGATTAAATTTTAAAAAAATCCTGTGGGGCTTGGAAATATCCAGGCAGAAGTGCCAGAGTCTCTAATCCAGTAAGGGGGGAAAAGGCAAAAGAAAGGCATTAAAATGTAATAAAAGCAGGGAAAAAGTAAAATCAGAGGGAGAAAATTGGGGAAAAAAATCAGGGAAAATCAGAAGAAAAAAAAAAAAAAAAAATCAGGGGAAAAAAAAAAAATAAAATCAGAGGGAGAAAATTGGGAAAAAAATCAGGGAAAATCAGAAAAAAAAAAAAGAAATCATGGGAAAATTGGGAAAAAAAAATTGGAAAAAAAATCAGAAAAAAATTGGGGAAAAATAAAGTCAGGAAATCAGAGGGAAAAAATAGGGAAAAAGTTAAAATCGGGGGGAAATGAAAAAAAAACAGGAAAAAAATCTGGGGAAAAACCAGAAAAAATAAAATCAGGGGAAAAAATCATAAAAAAAATAAAATCAGGAAAAAAATAAAGTCTGGGAAAAAAACAAGGAAAAATAAAATTGAGGAAAAAATCAGGAAAAAATTAAAATTGGGAGGAAAATCAGCAAAAAGAAAAAAATTAGGAAAAAAAATAAAATCAAGGATTGAATAAAATCAAGGATAAAAAAAAAAAAAAAAAAGGGAAAAAAAAAAAAAAAACAAGGAAAAATAAAATTGAGGAAAAAATCAGGAAAAAATTAAAATTGGGAGGAAAATCAGCAAAAAGAAAAAAATTAGGAAAAAAAATAAAATCAAGGATTAAAAAAAATTTAAAAAGTTGAAGGGGTTCAGCCCTAAAATAAAATTTTCTTTCAGTGGAGGGAGGATCAGAGAGTTCCAGGCTGGTTTGGGTGGGAAGGGACCCAAAATCCAAAATCCATCCAGATTTAATCCCCCATCCGTGGCCAGGCCATTCCTGCTGCCCCAGGGATCTCTTTGTGTCCCCTGGGTGTGGCACTGGCATTGGCACACCATGGATGTGATCCCTGAACTGTGCCCTGAGCAGCTGCAGGAGCTCAGGCAGAGGGGACATTTCCCACATTTCCCACCCTGAATTCCCTGGCTTTGATGTTTTGGGATTTGGGAGTGTCCCTCAGAAGGGTTTCACACCCAGCTCCTCCCTCCTGGAATTCTGCTGGAAGGGAGCCGGGATTTGGGATTCTGGGGGTTCTTTTGCTTCTTCTTCCTCCTTTGCCCCACCCACATCCCATGGATCCCACATCCCCTGGATTCCAAATCCCATGGATCCCACATCCCACAGATCACACATCTCATGGATCCCACATTCCATGGATCTCACATCCCAGGGATCCCAAATCCCACGGATCCCAAATCCCACAGATCTCTCATCCCAGAGATCCCAGGGATCTCACGTCCCAGGAATCCCAAATCCCACAGATCCCACATTCTAGAGATCCCAAATCCCACAGATCCCAAATCCCACAGATCCCAAACCCCAGAGATCTCCCAGCCCAGAGATCCCAGGGATCTCACATCCCAGGGATCCCAAATCCCACAGATCCCACATTCTAGAGATCCCACATTTCAAAGATCCCAAATCCCACGGATCCCAAATCCCACAGATCTCTCATCCCAGAGATCCCAGGGATCTCACGTCCCAGGAATCCCAAATCCCACAGATCCCACATTCTAGAGATCCCAAATCCCACAGATCCCAAATCCCACAGATCCCAAACCCCAGAGATCTCCCAGCCCAGAGATCCCAGGGATCTCACATCCCAGGGATCCCAAATCCCACAGATCCCACATTCTAGAGATCCCACATTTCAAAGATCCCAAATCCCACGGATCCCACATCCCAGGGATCCCCAGGATGTGCAGGGTGGGCTCAGCCAGAGGAGGCAGAACTCGGTGCCGTCTCCTGAGGGGGAATGAACCCCAAATGATCCCCCCAGATCTTTCTGCGGCTCCAGAGAAGGACAAAACCCAAAGGGATTTTCCATCCCACCCTGGCGGTGACTCCTTTGGGATCCTCAGCCTGGAATCCCCACCCCACGCTGGGATTTGGGGTTTCCTGCCCTGACAAAATCCATTTGCCTTCTCCAGGTGCTTTAGGGACCGGTGAGGGAGGGGAGCAGGGCGGGGAACGATCCCAAAGCTCCCGGCCCTTTAAACCCACCCCTCTTCTTTCCCTCGGGTTTTCCGTGCGGAGAGCGCCCTAAAACGGCCCCGAACGGGAGCGGGGGGGCGGGATCCCGGGAAGGGGCGGCTCCGCCGGGATCCCCGCGCCCACGAACGGGACTTGTGTCCCCGCAGCCCCGGGGAGGGACAAGGGGACACTGAGCGGCCCGGGGCGGGGGCACCTCGTCCCTCCCGAGTGCTATTGTTGTTCCCAAAGTCCCGGTATTATCCCCAAAGTCCCATTGTTGTTCCCAAGGTCCCATTGTTGTTCCCAAGGTCCCATTGTTGGTACCAAATAACGCGTGAAGCTCCTGAGAGCCGGAATGGGCCTGGAGGGCTCCCCGTGTCCCTGTCCCCGTGTCCCTGTCCCCTCCCTGTGTCCCTGTCCCTTCCCTGGGCCGCCTCTCTGTGTCCCTGTCCCTTCCCCGTGTCCCATCCCTGTGTCTTCCCTGTGTCCCTGTCCAATGTCCCTGTCCCTTCCCTGGGTCTCTTCCCTGGGTCCCTGTCTCTGTTCCTGTGTCCCTTCCCTCTGTCCATTCCCTGGGTCCCCTCCCTGTGTCTGTGTTCCTTCCCCGTGTCCCTGTCCCATCCCTGCATTTCTGTCCCTGCCCTCTGTCCCTGTGTTCCTGTCCCTGTGTCCCTTCCCTGTGTCCCTCTCCCTGTGGGGACTCGTTCCCTGCCTGGCACAGGGAATCAGCACTCCCAGGTTTCCCCTGAAGGCTGAGGAGGAATTTGGGATTTCCTGGGAGCGTTCCTGAGCACCCTCCTCTTTCCCAGCACGACCCCGTTCAGTTCCTGTCTCTTCTCCCTTGTCCTTGGATCAGCCAAGGCCTGAGGGACTGGGGGGTTCCTGAGGTGACTTCCCTGGGTCCCATCCCCAGATCCCATCCCTGGATCTTGTCCCTGCATCCTGTCCCTGGATTTGATCCCCGAATCCCATTCCTGGATCCCACCCCCAGATCCCACTTCTGGATCCCACTCCCAGATCCCATTCTCAGATCCCACTCCCGGATCCCATCCCTGGCTCCCATCCCTGGCTCCCATTCCCGGATCCCACTCCTGGATCCCACTTCCGGATCCCATCTCTGGATCCCATTCCCAGATCCCATCCCTGGCTCCCACTCCCGGATCCCATCTCTGGATCCCATTCCCAGATCCCACTCCCAGGTCCCACTCCCGGGCCCGTTCCCCGCAGCTCCTCTCTGGGAAGGGCCCTTTCCCCTCGAGTGGAAGGGCCGGGAATCCCCCGGGGCTCGATCCCGCAGGGTCGGCAGAAGCTCCCAGCCCTCATTCCCAGCTTTTCCGCGGGATGCGCTCGCGCTGCCTTCCCAGCGCTGCCCCAGCCTCCAGCTGCGCTTCTCCTTCTCCTGCTTCCTAGAAATTCCCTCTCTTCGTGGTTTTTTGGGGAAAAACTTCATTTTCCGTGTTCCATTTTCCCTGTTCCATCCTCATCTCCTGGGGAGCTGCACATGGAAATCCGTCAGGACCCTAGGAATGGATGTGGGGAGATCCTTTGTGCCTCCTGCATTTTGTCAGGAGCTTCCTGGAAGGAATTCACCTCCCAGCAGCCGACTGGATTCCTTCCCTCCCTGCTCATCCCTGAGGAATCCCAGACAGGGAATGAGAAGCACTCGTTCAGTGCCTCCTGCTGGGATTTTCCTTCTTCCAGGAAATCCAGGAGCTCCCATTCCACAGGAGACCCCAGCACTGATCCATCCTTTTCCTGAAAGGGTGGAAATAAAGGAATTAATTAATTAAAAAATGAAGGAGGGAAATAAAGGAAGATTTGCTTTCTCTGGGAATGCCTGGAGCCGTCCCCAAGCCCCAGAACCTGCAGGGAAATGTTCCTGCTGGGAGAATTCCTCTGGAATTCGGGTTTTTCCCACCTTGGCTTTGAAACCTTCCAGGGGTTTGGATCATGGGGGGCTGCCCCATGCCTGGATGAGTCCCAGGCAGGTTGGAATGACCTGGGACAGTGGAAGGGTGGAACGAGATGATTTTATGTCCTTTCCCACCCAAACCATTCCATGATTCCAAGCTGGAGAATTTCCCACAGGGATTAAATACAGAAATAGCTTTTTGGGGGGAGATATTGATGAATTTTGGGGTTTCTCAGCCATTGGGATCTGGCTCTTCAATCACCCATTGCAGGAACTTCCCACTGGATCCCTGAAAACAGCCACGTGGCCCTAAAATTCCTGCAGGTTTTGGGGATCTCCAGGATCATCTCTGCAGGGAAAAGCTTTTAGGGAGCTGCTCCCGGAGCTGGAGAGGTCGAGTCGCCCCGCGGAGCCTGCAGGGTGCAAACAGCAGGATGGGGAGGCAATGAGCCTTCC